TCGAACCCACAAACTCCTGCATACCAGGCGAGGTAGTTAACATCATCCCAATCCCCAGATTGCTCCATTAAAATCTTCTGGATCAACTACAAGATTGGCCTCATCGTCTTAAACGGCCTCCGTGGACTCACCCCTGCCTCGGTCTCCCCTCACATCCCTCTCTACCCATGCCGCTGCTGAATAAAGGCCTCCCCACGCCGCTGTCAGTCCTAAGGGTTGTAGGACCCCACTTCACCGTGTTAGTGCAGGCTGACAAGTGGCTCCATATCCCGCACCACTTCGCCCGTGGCTGTGAGACACAGCTGGGAATCAAACTCGAGTTTGCGGCTTCATAGTGTACGTGCACGACCGCCAAAGGTTGCAGAGTAGATTCTGACTGGGTAAGCTGGCATCGATGAGCGGTGCTCACTGCTATGAGCGAACCTTAAACAACAGCTCTTACGGCAACCTGATGATTCATGTGCCCTCACTTCAAAATGACACACGTCAACGTCACGTGAAAAAGTTACGGGATGGCATCCCAGTGCAACAACACTTTGGGTTCACGCGATGTATCAACTCGTACGCTCGCCGTTTCCTTCCACTGTGGCACTTCTCTGCGCGCCCTTCCTGTCTGAGTCAATCTCCCCGCACAGATCAAGAGCACCGGGGCTCGTTCCCGCGGCATGTTTACTCCATTTTCAAATATTCGCAGTTACGGCGGCGTTTAAATAAATAAATACGTGAGTTGCGATCATCATCATCATGGCTTCACAACCTAACGCAATCTAATCTGAAGCTTAAATGTGTTTTGAAAGCTTCACGGTTTTGGCTTTTTGTCAAAGTTACCTAAACATTTTTTGCTGTTCGTGTCATTTCAAGAGATGAAGAAATGCACGATCAGACCTTACGCTGCATGCATCATCGTGTGTTAGAGAACATCTCATTAAAGGGTGATTTCACAGAAATCCCTTCACGGGACCTATCATTTTGTCTGCACCAGGGGGGCTACACTAAGCCCAAATCCCCGACTGTCGACATGTTAGTCGCTTGAGAGGTCAACTGAAATTAACGTTTACAGAGTCATTGTCACCAATGTTGAGATCATCAACGCTGGTAACATTTGAGGTCCTAGTTTAACCATGGGTGGCTGAAACGTGAATTTAAACCCAGGGTTTCACGTGTGCCGAGTCCGTACCCTGAACTCTGAGCCATCCTGCCACCTCCATAAAGCTTGGACAGACAACCAACATGGCGCGAGGGAAGACAGCATGGCCCAAAATTCAGGACACACGGGGTCATTTCATTTGTTTTAACACCTGGCATTTTTATTGTTTATTCTTTAAGTTAATGTTGTATCTATGATCATTAATATCTATTCTTCTTCTTCTTCCCGTGGAATCACCTCCAATCCGTCATTTACAAGAACCCGGCCAAGAACCCGGAATGCATTGAGACGAAACATAATTTATGAATGTTCAAAAATTACAGCTTTAATCTTTAAAACAAAAGTCCTCCATTAAGTTCAAAAGAAAATGCATACGTTTATATTAATGAGGATCAGATTGAACATTTGTTAAAATAAATAAAATCACCCGATGTCATTTGTTAAAATAAATATAATAACCCAATGTATCCTAACTCGGGGGCCACCCTGTATGTTTCAGTACGTTGGGAGGTGAGTGAAGGTGAAAAAAAGGGGGAAACCCCTATTATTATATTTTGGTACTGGCAAAGGAGGTCTAATGATGTAGATGCTCACCCCGAGCCCTCATTACTTTGAGCATTGTCTTTGAGCTGTACGCCTTTTGGCGTCCTCTGGTCGAGCACAAAAGAAAGCCATCCCTGGTGTGGACCAATCAGTTTCAAGGACAATGCATACATTATCATAGTGTGTTTTTTGCTTGCATTTTGACTGCAAGTATTGTGGTTAATGCAGACATGAATCCTTGTAAAAAGGTTTCAGTTTTGTTGCCAGAAAAAAAGGGGAAACCCCCTATTATTATAAGTGAAGGTGTGTTATGATTTTACACGTCGATCATATGGGCATAGACACTTCAATACGTTTCATTTCAATGTTGAATCTTTTGCCGTTATTTACCGCTCTTCAAAAAGCAACACGGACCGCATTTTAACGACATTAAATCACGAGGCAAAAACGTTCACATTTCTGCGCGTGAGGAAGGGCAGAGATCACCGCTGGCGAGTGACCCTGCTCAAGATGATGGGGGCGCGCGTTACTGTACCACACATGTTCAGGAAGGATGTTCAAGGATCATCGCATGAGGAATCCCCCAGGCACCGTCTGTACATGTCACAGATCTCTCCCCTCCACCCACTCCCAGCTCACCCATCCCTCCCCCATGTCTCCTACCTCTTACCCAGTCCCTCCCGACAACACTTCTTCAAGTCCTTGTCCTACTGATTATCTCTTCAGGCCATCCTCCTCCTAATCTCCTCCCTCATCCTCCCACTCTTTATCTCCCCACCATGTATCTCTTTCATTTTAACAGGTATTTCGCAATGCATTGATTAATTTATTTATTAATATATTGATTCATTATAATGCTCACGGTACATACGTAGAATAATGATTGTGAGTCCTGAAAATGACGTGAAAATTATCGGCGATTGTTACGTTTAGGCTAATGGGGTGAGCTCAGCTCTCCGGACGAGACAGAACAAAAACACGAAGCCGGGCAAAAAGCGAGACGAAAAATGTCGATTCTTGATGCAGGTTATAACAATTCATCTCGTCTCTGAATTGGGTATTAATTCCATGCCTTCTAACCATTTAAAATCCACTCTGTCCCACCTCCCACAACCCTCTTCCATCCTCTCGTCTCTTCCCTCCACTCCCTCCCTCGCCACGACTCTCTGGCTCCTTACCCCTCCTCCATCCTCCCACCCTTGAGTCCCCCCCCCATCACGTCCCTTTCCCGCACGTGATTTTAATTCACAGCTGTGCGCAGATCTAAAGCCAAGTGTGGCTGTTTTTTTGTGAGAGAACGCTCGTACAGCTCAAGGTGAGGGGTGTCTGGCGATCTCGCCGGGGTATTCCTCAGTGGCGGGACGGCGGCGGCCAGGCCGCCTGCACGGCTCTCTGTGCACGTCTCTCTCTGCAGGGCTCTCTGTGCAGGGCTCTCTGTGCAGGGCTCTGACTGCACGGCTCTCTCTTCAGGGCTCTCTCTGCAGGGCTCTGACTGCAGGGCTCTCTCTGCAGGGCTCTCTCTGCAGGGCTCTGACTGCAGGGCTCTGACTGCACGGCTCTCTCTGCAGGGCTCTGACTGCTGGGCTCTCTCTGCAGGGCTCTCTCTGCAGGGATCTCTCTGCAGGGCTCTGACTGCAGGGCTCTCTATGCAGGGCTCTGACTGCACGGCTCTCTCTGCAGGGCTCTGACTGCAGGGCTCTGACTGCACGGCTCTCTCTGCAGGGCTCTGACTGCAGGGCTCTCTGTGCAGGGCTCTCTCTGCAGGGCTCTGACTGCAGGGCTCTCTCTGCACGACTCTCTCTGCACGACTCTCTCTGCAGGGCTCTGACTGCAGGGCTCTGACTGCAGGGCTCTGACTGCAGGGCTCTCTCTGCAGGGCTCTGACTGCAGGGCTCTATCTGCAGGGCTCTGACTGCAGGGCTCTCTCTGCAGGGCTCTCTCTACACGGCTCTCTCTGTACAATCCCTTTCGGGCCCAGGGATCAGCAACATGCGGCTCCGGAGCCGCATGTGGCTCTTCACGGACCGCTTGGTCGTGACGTTATTTATCATTGTTATCATTCAGGATCGTCTTCTCGTATTCACGTGGCATTGTGGCTCTTTAAATATTGAGGGTTTTTTTTTTTTTACCGAGTTTGAAAAATAATTTCTACTTGTTATTTCGGTTTGCCGACCGCCTCGCTTTAGGCATTTGTGCGACGTGCTGTTGGGTTTACTGGCCATCCTTCTGGGCAGCCGGCTGCTTGTGAAGCTGATGAGTAAAAGTGTCTCCTGGTTCTTACGGGCGAGGAGCGGTGCTTTTCTCTAATGGAGGAAATTCCACGTTCCCGTGGAGTCGGGGGTGGGCGGGGCGGGTTGACGTCCCACTTCACTCATTTTCATCAATTCCAAAGGGATGCAAGGCTTCGTTGATGCCCGAACTGGCAACCAGTCTCTCGTCGTGAGGCGAGCACTTCCCTTGACAGGAATGGTGCCATGTGACCGCCTCTCTTGGTGGAAACAGCGCTGTTGGGTCGTGACTCGGAGGCTTGTTGGCTCACTGGCTGCCTGACTGGCTGGCCTACTGGCTGACAGTGGGAAGGTTGTCTGGCTTAGTGGCTGACTGGACGACTGAACGCCTTGTTGGGTGTGGCTGGTTGGGTGACTGACTATAGACGGTGATTTGGCTGGCTGGCAGCTCGCCACACATACTAAATTAAAATGAAATGGCCGAGTCATTCCATAAAGGGACATCCCTGTGGTCATGTAAAATCTTATTGCATTTAGAAATGTACAGTATATGTTTGTGTTTGTATGTATGTTGAACTTCTTTCACACTGTCCTAATCGGAGTTGCGAAGGTCTACAAGCAGACACCAACACACACGCACTCACTGAATGGCATCCTCACACATGTAGAACGACACGAACACACACAGGAGTATACAAAAAGGCAAATATCCCCCATATAGACGTAACAGACTGTTGGGGCAAGTGCTGTTAGCGAGCACCTATGAAGGGCAGCACGGCACGGGAGGAGGTGGGTGGCCAGCACCACGCCCGACCGCCTTCGTGATGATTGACACACCACACCGGGTACTCATTTGAGGCTGAGTCGACCTAGGAGAGGCCCAGGACCGATTCGGTGTTGACTGTGAGCGGGAATCGAAACCGGGCCGCCGGCTTCGTAGCGCAGCGCACCAACCGCTGCACCACCGCTCCCCACTATCAAGAGTCCATCCTAGGTTACATTCGTTTTTTATTTTTTTGTTGCAGGGTTCCTCCCCCCCCCCCCACCGGCAATCGCTCATCCCTCTCTCGCCTCCGTGCAAGGTGAACGTTGGAGCGCAGGCGGCACGCGACCTCATGACCACGGTCGTCCCCTCGCTGGAGAGCAGCGCGCCATCTTCGAGCTCTGCGCCAGCGCACCGCATGCCCGTGCACAGGTGAGGGCAGCTCGCGCCCGAAGCCTCTCTCTCTCGCAAGCGGGCGGACCGTCGCACTCGCTGCGGAGCCGGCCTGTCCCATTGTTTTCCTCCACCGATTTTCAATAGATTTTTTAGACCTAATGGATTTCAACAACAAGCAGCCGAAGTGTACGGATTATGTTCACTCTCACTGTGTTTACACGTCGGTGTACGCAGATTCAGAGTTTGACGACCCCTGTTGTGCAAAAAGTGCATCGGAAACGGAACCTCTCTTTTGACACTTGCGTTCCTGCCCTAGCGCCCTGACCTCGCGAACCCCCGACCTCCGCCCCTCTCGTCCCGTTTCCCGCAGGCCTCTCTCGCAGTCCCTGTTGAGCCTGCCGTCTGCCGGGCCCCAGAGTTCGGCGCTCCGTGCCCAATGCAGGCCGCACACGCTCAAGCTGGCCAGCAGCGAGGTGGACGTGTGCGGGGTCCGCGGCGGCCGGAGAGGGGACGGGTGCCGGGCCGGCGGGCCGCCCGGAGGTTACGCGCTGCGCAGGACTCGGGCGCGTGACCTCAGCTGCGAGCCCACGACCCCGACGAACCCCGACGGAGACTTCGACCTGAGCGCGGAACGCGGGGCTGAATGCGGCTTCCGGCGGCGGCCGCCCCCTCGTCAGAATGGCCTCGTCAACGGTGGCGCGCTCAACTCGCGTCCGTCGAGGGACGGCACGGCGACGACGGCCGCGGCGGTGGCGGCGCCGGAGGCGGGAGCGAGAGCGGCGAATGCACGAGGCCGCGCCGAGGTCATCCGCCAACGGATCGAGCGATGGGAGGGGCGGCAGGGGGATGCCGACTCGGGGAACGGAGGGGGCGCCGTGGGCCGAGGATTGGTCACTCCAAAGGAGCCAGCAGCACCGACAGGGCCAGAGAGGCAACAAACGAGGATGAAGAAGGAGGAGGAGGGTGTGAAACCAGGCGAGGTGCGCGAGCCTCTTGCTGGGCCACGATCGCCGGGCCGTGAGGCCGGCACAGCCGCCGGGGTGATCCAGCGGACACCACTTCCAGACAAAAGCCTCAGCGCCACAACCGGAGGAGGAGGAGAGGTGACGCTGCTGGACGAATGCGGTCGCTCCATGACTGGAGCAGCGGCCGCACGTGAGCGTGCGGGATCAGCTCAGAGCCCGGGCGCTCGGCGGGACTTTACCGGGAATGCTGACGGCGTGCGGACGCGGACGTGCGGAGGGTCTGATTCGTGCAAGCCTCTCGCGGAGGCGCTAACCAACAACAAGTGTCTCTTTATCAAAACCACGAACACGGACGCCTCCTTAAATAATAATGTCAGCGGCGGGGTTGGCCTCGTGCCCGGAGGCGAGAAAGTCGCCGCGGTGAGAGCGAGCACGGCGTGCGCTGGCCAACCCAAAGCGGGGCCCACGGAGGGCTGGTACTGCACGCCCGCCCACCCGCAGCCCAAGCCGGCAGCGGCAGCTCGTGTCCTGCCCGGCGCGCAGACCGAACGCCGCGGCGGACTGCAGGAAAGCGTCAATGGGAAATCGTCGGAGCGGAGAGAGCACGGGGGCTGTAGCGGCGAAGCCGTCGGCAGAGCAGCGGGGGGTGTCACTCGTACGGCGTCGGACAGGATAGCGGATTCGAGCGCGAACGCGCGTGCCGGCGACCGCGCGTCGAGCAGGTGCGGCGCGACGGGGGCGACCGCGAACAGCGAGGGGATGGGGAGCCCCACGATGCGGCCGGGCCGAGGGGCGAGCGACGTGGACGCGGGGCGCCGCGTGGCAGAGGGGCGCGGCGCAGGGAGCGAAAGTCCCCGAGCGATCGGGGCGACGGTCGGATGCGTGCCTCCGGGTGAGCTCGACGGCACTAGGAAGGAGGCGTCGCCCGCGGGTGAAGCGGCGCCGCGGAGCGGGGGCAAGCGAGGGGGCGTCGCCTCCGTTCTGTCCCGCGTGCGGACCCTGGAGCGCGCCGCGCAGGACTGCCCCAACCACGGCGTGCCCGAGCTGCCCGGCATCTTTTACGGCGCGAGGGAGGCGCGGCGCTCGCGTGCCGGGCTCGGGCCCCGCGGGCCGGGCACCTCCCGCGAGCGCCGGGGGTCCCCGGCGATGGCCGCCCGCCAGCGCCGCGACAGCCGCGGCTCCGAGCCGAGCGAGACGGACTACAGCACCGTCGGCAGCGTGTACAGCGCGCGCGGCGACGCGCCCTGGGACTCGGAGAACGTGTACGCCGACCCGGCGCTCTGCGACAGCCCCAGCCCGACGCCGTCGCCCGCGCGCACGCTCTCGCCCCCACCCGCGGACGCGCCGCCGAAGCCGCGGCGGACGTTCGAGTACCGGGCCGGTCCGTTCGAGGGCGGCGGCGGCGGGGGAGACGCGCAGCGCCCCCCGGCTCCGTCGCCCGCGCCGCCCTCCTCGCTGCTGCCGCCGCCATCTTCTCCGGCGCCGCCGCTGCCCAGCAGCCCCCCCCCGTGCTCTACGCAGCCGCCGCCGCCGCTTCCGCGCCCTGCCCAGGACTGCTCGCGATTGTAAGGGAGGAGAGAGAGCGTCGGTGGGCACGCACGCACGGTGACGTCACGGCGGCGCTCGTGCCAGGCCGGGTGCACTTTGAGGCCACGTGACGTGTCGAATGCACGCTGCTGACGGAAAGGTTACGGGACCGACCCAGGCGCTGTGGGTTGACTGACCGGGATGACTGGCAGATGCACGGCACGCGCACAATGACGTGCACGCACACACACACACGAGACCGTACGATGCAGAGGGCTGCGAGAAGGAGGTCAAGAGGCGCATTGCTCTAGCAAGCGGCGTTTTTGAAACCACTTTGGAAGAGATCGCTCACGGTTTACATTAAAGGGTATTTGATGCATGTGCGGATAAGGAGCTGCACTCTCACTAAGTAGTGCAAAGAGAAGTTGTTGGCGTTTGAGCATAGGTGCGTCAGATGGTTGCTAGGAATGCCTTGGCACGACAGCATAAGCCTGTGCAGAAGTGAGCATGGCAGGTAAGCGTTGTAGACATGATGAGGCGACGCATGTTGCGCTGGGCGGAAGGAGGCCTGGTTACCGAGCCACGTGCTTCTTGGGTGAAGGCCTGAGAGCAGATGGTGGCAGACCGTCGGTGCATATTGCGGAGGTTGCGGAAGGGTAGGAAGCGTTAACGGGGTGCGGGGGCGTCGACGGTTTTGCCGACACCTTGATCTCGAATGCGTTAAAGAGTACGTACTGTACGTATGCATTTTTAACTTCTTTCGCACCGTCCGTAGCCAACCGTACTAATCGGATGTGCTAATCGTAGAGAGTGTGGTGGCTGGGCAACATTACGACCGGCTGCCTTTGATTTTTGCAGCGTCAATGTTTGCACGCTGCGCCGTGGTACTCGGTTGAGTCAATGCATCGGAGGTCAAGGACAGGTTCAGATGTCACAACCCTTTGATGTTGTCCGTGGAGTGTGATCGACCCCAGGGATTTCAGTGCAATCCTGTACCCGTCGCGCCACTGGCTACACGTACACACACGCAGAGGCAAACGCCCACGGCACCAGAGTTGCACGTATTGATCTAGAGCCTTCGGTAGTCCGCTGGTGGATGAAAAGCCTCCTCATCCTGTGTCGGCCATGGGAGTTGTTTGACCACTCTGGTCAGCGTGTCGGTGAAGGCAGTCTGGAGGTGGGCCAGGAGCATTTCAGATATCATTCGCCACTTGTCGTTAGCTGTCGCCGGGAATCAAAGTCGGGTCAAGGGACTCAGAGCGCAGTGCCCAACAAAGCGCTGCACCCGTGAAATGATGTACCGAGGACGAATGATGTGGAAACAGCTGTCGGCAAGTTCCTGTTAAATCCCATTGAGCCCATTCAGCAAGCGCTCGCTGCCAGCATGTTGCGCCGTGTCTTGAGGATGCGCACGTAACACTGCCACCCACCCCTTGCTGGCGCTTGCTGCACGGAGGCGCGTGGCTCACTACGTGTTGGCCTTCTTTCCCTGCGTCCCTCTGTCTGTGCGTGCATGTGAACGTCTGTGTGTGAGTGTGCGGGTAGAGTACTGCAGCGGTTAGAGCGCTGTGCTACGAACCCGGCGAATCGATTTCGATTCCCCGCTCGTGCCCTACGCTAGATCCACTCAGCCTTAAATAAGTGCCTGGTGCATCAGCACTGAGGAGACAAAGGCACGGCGCTGGCCACCCACCACCCCCCTCGCGTTCCATGCTCGGCCTTCACAGGTTCTTCTAGCTAACATCAGTTGCTCCGACAGTCCGTTAAGGCATCACGGTTGGGGGAATCTTGGTCTTTGTGTGTGTGCAGGTCCTCCCCGGAGCCGAGTACGGTGCCATCGCGACCCCGTGTGCCACTGCAGGAGCTGCCCTTGCCTCCGTTCCAGCCGCACAGCCCCGAGTTCGGTCTCGCCCTCTCCCATGAAAACATCTACGAGGACATCATAGGTGCGGCAGGCCGGCGAGGGGGCACAGGGCCGCGCACTTTTAAATCTCAATTGAAAACTCATTTCTTGAGAACTGCTTTAGTTTTTAGTTTTTTGTCCTTTCCCCCGTACCTCCGATTAGCACGGTTGGCTATGCACGGTGCGAAAGAAGTTCAACATACATACATACCAGGCTGATTTAGAGAGCCAAGCATTCGCGATTCGTCTGTTCTAAATGTCGATCAGCTGGGCATCGATTGCGCAAGCTGTTGTAGTGGCGGGTGATCGATATTGAGCGAAATAGCTGCAGCAGACAAGGAGTTTCCTCCATTCGTTCATCCTCACAAAGAATAAAAGTTTTTCTTACCTCCTAATTTTTGCTATGGGCTCTCTCTCCTCATTTGCGTGGGCTATCTCTCTTGCATACTTTAGTTTCCTCCCGCTTACGGGAGAATTCGGCCAATCGCCCCAGAATGCGGGAACCTTCTTAAGGGGATATCGGGTGCTCGGCAAGGATATAGAAACCGCTGCGCTGTCTGCGATTCGCAGAGCATTTGCGCTAACAACTGGACTTATCACCCCTCCCCCCGCCTCTGTGCGGTTACCGTGGGCTCTAACCCTCACCGACGCACCTGTCCAGAACCGTGCTCGCGCGAGAATCCGTACGAGGACATCGCCGACGGGGAGTGGGCGTCGAGCCTGGAGGACTCCTCCTCGCTCTGCCTGCGCAGCGCCCCCGGGAAGTCCCGCAGCGCCACCCTCTCCGAACCCAGGGTGCGAACCTCCCCCCCACCACCCCCCCCACCACCCCCCCCCACCACCCCTCCCCACCAACCCCCTCCCCCGTGCCACCGCGCCGCCACGACGTCACAACCGCGCCGTCGCCACGCTTCACAATGCAATACGACGTCAAGTTTGGCAATACGACCATTACTGCGTCGACTTTGCGACTTGCGCGACTTTAATGTTCGTCCGATGGGTTTTGTTTTTCGTGCTCTGCTCGACTTCCGGTGTGAATCGCTTGTGAGTTTCATCAACTGCCACGCACTCGACATAAGCCTGCCGCAAGTGCTCTAATAATCGCGACGCTGCGATAACGCTTTAATGCGATCGAGCTGTCGGTTCCACAATGCTCAATTGAGTCGTTAAAAGAGCTACGAAATTGACGACGCCATCGCCACCAGAGCCACGACCGTGGTCAGCGCAAACAAGAGCCCAGCTCAGAGCAGCCTCCTGGAAGTGCAGAATTCATCTGATTACCTGTTGATTTCTGCACATGAGGAGGGACTCAGAAGCGCTAGAACATCGACGCTACGACGATGACGCTAATAATCATGGCATCCCCGCCAATAGTGCGCCCACATCGGCGAGACCGAGAGGATTTCCACGGTACGTTCCTGTTGACAACGGCGACGACATCCCGACTGACGTTTGGCGCCCTGTGGATAAATGTCCCCGCCGCCCCCGCAGCTGCCGCCCTGGGGTGGAGGCGGCCGCCGAGGGGTCGGGCCGGGCACTCGCGGGGGTGGCCGCACCTCCTCGCTGCGCGCCCCCCGGCCGGGACGCGCGGGGGCGGCCGCCCGGGGCTCCCCCTCGTCGCTCCTCTTCGCCGGCGGCGGCCTCGACGAGGAGTGGGGCGCCGGCGCCGTGCCCGCCAGGGCCCCCAAGGTGACGCACACGCACACACCGCGGGCGGCCGTGATCGTCAGAACGCTTTCGCGCCGTGCGTAGCCGGCCGTGCCTGTCGGAGGCGGCGATGTGACAGCGGCGGCCTCGCAAGCCGTCGACGACTGCTGCTGTGATACCCGGTGTGCCACGCACGTGTGCTGATGTTGATGATGCTGCTGTAGTAAGCCTTTGTCATTTGTTAATATAAATATAATAACACCCCGTGTCTTGGCTTTCGGGCCACCCTGTGTGTTTCACTACGTTAGGAGGTGAGTGAAGGTGTCATGCTTTAACATTTAGAATGCACGTATGTTGAACTTCTTTCGCACCGTACGTTGCGAACCGTTCTAATCGGAGGTGTGCAGGAAGGACAACAAACTACAACAAAAAGCAGTTCTAAAGAAAAGAGTTTTCAATCTTAACCTCATTCACGTCGCAGCGACCACCAGCCTGGGCACCAATGGATTCGCAACAAAACGCATTTCATTCAACTTGCTTTTGCATCTGATTTGTGTGAATTCCGGCTCTTGATAATGAGGCAAAGTATCGGTTTGACTCTCGCGTCACAAACGATCTCATAGCAGGGTGCGTGGGACAGGCCACTTCAAGAATTTTGCAGAGGTCCCGTGACACGTCTCTTCTGTCCACAAGTGTGGGGGGTGTGTGCATGCACACAGAAGTTAGCACTACACTATGAACCCGCTCAGGGCCAACACTGGTGACGATTATCTGAACCGCTTCAGGGCCTCACCTAGGTCGACTCAGCCTCAAATGAGTACCCGGTGCGTTGTGTATGAAAGCATCAGCACTGGGGGAGACAAAGGCGGGTCCGACCGGGCGTGGTGTTGGCCACCTCATCTGCCGTGCCAGCCTTCATAGGTGCTCGTCAACAGCACCTGCCCCAGCAGTCTGTTAGTCTCTACGGGGGATAGTTGCCTTTGTTCACGTGTGTGTGTGCGTGTCCGTGTGCTGACACGCGTGTCACTTCACAGTCCGTGCAGAAGATTAACAGCATCTTCACTGCGCGGTGCGGCTGGAAGCGCTGGAAAAAGACGTCGGTGTCGAGCCCAGAGTCACTCAAAGGTCAGGGCGCTCGGGTCCCGTGGCCTTTGCCTCGGGTCACACCGCCGGTGCGTTTGTCCTCGCTCGAGCGACGGTGAGGTAAGCCGCTCCTCGCACTGCTCGTGAACTCGTGGTCCGCCGCTGACTCACGGAGAACGCCGGACTGGAGACCAGCCGCGTTTACGGGCGACGTCCGATGGAACGGTGCGGTTGAGCGGTCGGGTTGCCGCGGTGGAATTTCGCGCGGCACGATTGCTGAAGCGGTATCGGTCTGTCGCGACAAGACGATCTTCGTGATATACATTTTCCCTTAACGCTGTGCTAATGTTTCACATTCTCTATTGCATAAACCTTTTTTGCTTTGCCGTGTGCGCGTGCGTGACGGTGGATAATTACGTTGCGTTCACTTGTGTGTGTGTGTGCGCGGGCAGATGAGAACAGCGACAGTGAGAGTGACTCTGACGAGCAGCTGACAGGTGAGACAACAACTTCCTCACCACCTCCTGTCTTGAGCTCTTCTCTTCCTGCTGCTCTCAATCGCTGTGAGGTACGTGGCTCCAGCCGCCTTTCCCTTCGCCCTCCCCGCTCACGCGCTCCCTGCCCTTCGTGGACCACGTCCACGTGCTTCCCTACCTCTCCCTCGTTTCTCTCCTCCGCTCTCTCTCTCTCTCAATCCCACTCGCTCACCCGATGCCTCCTCTTCCTCTCTTACCCACTCGCCCGTTCCCGCGTCGCTCCGCGCTCACCCCGTCCTTCTCTCCGCGTACGTCTGCATCTCCGTCTCACCGCCACCCCTCCCCCCCACCCCCGTGCGTCGTTCCTAGAGCACCGGCTGCGCCTGGTGCACGTGGCGGCGGCGCTGCGTCGCGCCAGGAGCGGGCGCACGCTGGAGCTGGAGCAGCTCGATCCGCACAACCGCCGCCTCTTCGAGCACTTCGTGGTGGTGTCGCTCCGCGAGCGGCCCGCGGGGGCCGTGGGGCCGGGGCCGCCCGGCACCTTCACGCCGCAGCTCACCTACCAGTTCCCCAAGGTGAGCGCGTGGGAGGTTGCGTGGGAGGTTGCGTGCGTGCGAGCCCCACCAGACGCTTGAGCTGCGTTCCGCACCTCCGATTAGCACGGTTGGCTAGGTACGGTGCGAAAGAAGTTCAACGTACACGCAGTATGTCCTTGCTTTGTCTCCGACAATCTGTGAGGCTACACCGCCGTGGGCCCTTGTCTTTGTGTGTGGGGCCTCAAAGGGCACCTAGCCTGGCATAATCGCCGTGGTGATGTCACCGCCACTTAGCCGCGAACGGCGGCTGTTTGTGTGTGGGTGTTGCGTACGTGGGGAGCGGTGGCACAGTGGTTAGCGCACTGCACTCAGCTTGAAATAAGTACCTGGTTGGGTGCGTGAACGTCAGCGTTAGGGAGAACAAGGCGGCCGGGGCGTGGCGCTGGCCACCCACCCCCACGCCCTCGTGCACCGTTGCGACCTTCACGGGTGCTGCTCGCTAACAGCGCACTTGCCCTGACAGTCTGTTGAAGGCTACACCGGGGGTCTCTGTCTTTGTGTCTTTGTGTGCGTGCGTGGCCCCTTAGCTCGAGCGGCCGAGCCAGGAGGCGCGTGAGGCCGAGGAGAGGCTCAAGGTCATCCCCCACTTCTGCTTCCCCGACGTGCGCGAGCTGGGCCCCGTGGTGGGACCCGGAGCCCCGGAGGGACCCAGAGGGCCGTGTCCCAGGCAAGCAGGGGAAGCGGCGTGTTGCGCTCGCTCCGCGCGTGCGTGACACGCGCGGAGCGAGCGTGCGTGCGTGCGTGCGTGTCACGCGAGCGTGTGTGCGTGTGGGGAGCGGCGGCGTAGCGTTACAAACCCGGCCACCCGAGTTCGATTATCTGAACCGGTCCTGGGCATCCCCTAGGTCGACTCAGCCTCAAATGAGTACCTGGTGCGGTGTGTAAATATCCCCTCGTGTGCCATGTAGGCCTTCATAGGCGCTCGCTAACAGCACTTGCCCCTACAGTCTGTTACAGGCTATATGGGGGAATCTTTGTTGTGGCGTTGCTTTTTGTTTGCGAGCGTCGCTCTCCTGCCCTCCGTCGTGGCTGGAGAGCGACTGCCGGGCAGAAAGAACGCAGAGAGTTGGCACAGCTGCGTGCGTCTGCTCGCCATTTCGGTCGGTCAACCCACGGCACCCGGATCCGTTTCTTGACCTCCTGCCGGCGGGCCCCCGTCACTTCCCGTGGCCTCACAAAGTTCGCCTAGCGTGGCGCAGGCGCCGTGGCTGTTGTTGGCGAACGGCGGTTGTTGTCGTTGTTGTTGTGGCGGTAACGCCCGCGCGTGTTTCTCGTGTCGTGTCGCCGCAGTGAGACCTTCTCGTTCGTGCTCACGTACGAGGACGGCATCCGCCGCTTCGGGTACTGCCGGAGGCTGACGGTCAGCGTTCTCTCCGCACCACGGCAGCCGCGCGCATTTTCGCAACCTTCCCATACCCCCATGCCTCTTCCCACACCACGCCGCCATCTCGCCACGCCGCCTCACGCCCCGCCGCCATGCTCGCCTCGCAGCGTGGCATCGTATGGCATTTCACGATGTGTTGTACCACACCACCCGATGCCATTACACACCGTGCCACCTCATGCCTCCTTATTGCCTCTTCACATTCGACACTGCCACCTCGTGACACGCCACCCTGGGCTGTTCCTCAACGTACCACCCAGTGCTCTCTCACATGGTGGCACACCAAGCCACTTTGTGCCACCGTGTGTGACTGTGTGCCACTTTGTGCCACCATGTATGACTGTGTGCCACCGCGTGTGACCGTGTGTCATCCCGCGCCACCGGGTGCCGCCCTGTGACACCGTGACCCCTCGCGTGACACCCTGCGCCACCGTGTGCCTGCAGCCCGAGGGGAAGGGCCTGCCCGAGGTGTACTGCATCATCAGCCGTCTGGGCTGCTTCACCCTCTTCTCAAAGGTGACTCCGCGCAAAAACCCCACTCACGGCCATCGCTTCATGAAGACAGCGTGGGCAACACGCACCACAGCAAGGCATCCGCATGATGTATCACGGGGTTTCTCCATGCGATACCTATATCAGTTAACGTACTATTTAGATCTGTGAAATGTCTAAATTCCATGGCATCTAAAGACGCGGTCCGATTTGGAGGAGCCGCACATTGTAAGGGATGGAATGGGACAAGAGATTTGTTATTTCATGGGGATTTCTCGGAGCCGACCGCTCGTCGCAGGGCAGTCGGAACGACGTTCAAGTCACCGTCCCCACGCGAGCCGGCCCGGAGCCACGCGAAGCGTCACGGCCGGTCCCCGCCCCTGACGACGGCGACCCCCCCGCCCGCTGTCGCCGCACCCGCGCACAACGTCGACCCCCTCCCTCGCGCCCTAACCCCCTACCCCCCCCCCATCCCTCCGCCAGATCCTGGACGAGGTGGAGAAGCGGCGCTGCATGTCCCCAGCGCTCGTCTACCCCTTCATGCGCGTGCTCGCCGACGCGCCCTTCCCCGCGCCCGGACGCACCGTGCGCTTCAAGAATTTCCTGCCTGGCTCGGGCAACGAGGTACGATATAGTATTACGCTAATTTGTTTTTTATTTTACCAGGTTTAAGCCCCACGGAGCTATGTAGCGCTTTGTTCAGAAGCCACCTGGCCACAAATGATAGCTTGACGAAGTGGCTTATCATCACGTGGACATTTATAGCAGACAATTAATACTCTACACGCACGTTAATTCTACATGTGGAGGGGAAACACCGGAGGACCCGGAGAAAAATCTATGTGACCACGGGGAGAGCATGCAAACTCCAGATCCCGCTCCTACACTGCACCAGGCAACCTCACTGTGTGCACGAGCACCGCGGAATGTACAGTACGTATGTTGAACTTCTTTCGCACAGTACGTAGCCAACCCGTGCTAATCGAAGGTGCGGGGAAGGACAACAAACTAAACACAAAAAGCAGTTCTAAACAAATGCGGTTTCAATCTAGATAATGATTTAAGAGCGTCCCAGACGGCCGCAGAAGCGCACGTGAAAGCGCGCGATGCGGTGACCACCTTTGTTCGACGGCCATCCAAAAGCCGCTGCTGCCAGGATGACCGGAGTCCACGTGATGGTTTACGCTCCTTGACGAGATCAGCGAGGTCATCGTGGTTCATTTGTGGCAAGCACTTCGTGTGCCCACAACGTACCGTGCCCTCCCCCCACCAACCCGGCGTTACGCCTCCGCTGCCGGTGACGGACTCCCCATCACCGACCGGCGCCGGAGCCCCTCGCCGCGGCCGTGACCGTGAGCGCCACTGCCGCCCGACCGCAGGTGATCGAGCTACGGCGGCCGCTGGACTCGCGGCTCGAGCACGTCGACTTCTCGTGCCTGCTGGCGTGCCTGGGCACGCGGCACATCGTGCAGGTGTTCGCCTCGCTGCTGCTGGAGCGACGCATCATCCTGACGGCCGACCGGCTCAGGTGAGCATCACCTGTGCTCCCCAGTGGTGCACGGGCATCACCGGAGTTAAACTAAACGCGAAACTGAATTTTTATTCTTACCAGGTAAGGCCCACTGAGCTGTATGCAGCTCTTTTTAGAAGCGACCTGGCCACAAATGATCGCTCAACGAAGTGGCTTATCATCGTGTGGACATTTATAGCAGCCAAATACTTTAAATACGTATTTCTAAATGTGGAGGGAAAAACCGGAGGACCTGGAGAAAAATCCACGCGACCACAGGGCGAACATGCAAACTCCAAGTGTACAGGCTTCATGGTTGGGATCGAACCCATGGCCTCCTGTATACCAGGTGAGGTAGTTGACGTCTCGGCACCATGCGGCCATGTGAGGCCTGCGGCCATGTGAGGCCTGCCACTTCTAAACATCTCAAGAATATTTCTAGATTTGAAGCTTTCGTGACTGCAAGGATTCATACTCTTTAGTATTTATCTACCGCTACAAGCATCCTAGCCGTACTAATCGGGTGCTGGAAGGGAATATTTTCCACCTGGCAATGCCGTGTTACACTTCTGTCACTACAAGAGACCCTTGCAGCGACAGGAGTGACTTGAGGTCTGCGGGTGAATGTGTTGGGTATTTAAGAGTCGTCTGTGGGCCTCGGGAGGGAAAGGTTTTCCCAGCCTCGCCCTGCGGTCTGCTTACGCTTTGGTGCCACGTTTCTCAGCGGCGATACATTTCCCATCTTTGTGATGGGGGATTGGAGAGAGAGCGAGCGAGAGAGAGAGAGCGAGCGAGGGAGCGAGCGAGAGAGATTGTCAGGTAGCAACCGGCTGGTTTCGGCCCGAATGGAGTGCAAGATGTGAACTGGAGGCGGATTTCCCCCCGTCCACAGCTACAGTGTAATCGCAGGAAGTCGTTAGCGTTGCATTCTGCTCGTCCCTTGAGATACCGCGCGCGATGCTTGGGGCGGGGGAAGCGGTCGGACTCCCCTGCTTAGATTCCGCTCGCCCCCCCCCCCACCCCGGCCGGCTCCGCTGCCCCTGCAATCCTCCCCTGCCACCGCCGCCGTCGCCAGCACCACACGTCTGCCCAGATAGCGGGCGATCTTTGTTAACCATCGCCCATAACGGGCGCTGCCATAACGATAACAAAGCACTGTAATGCATTTAAAAAGCTGTAATAAAAATGTTCTTTTTTAAGACTCTTTCGGGAAGAGTCCTGGGAGGTTTAGCCAATTGCTTTTTCTCAGTATTTTGGGCAAGAGGAAATCTTAGCCACCAGAGGACTCCACACGTACGGAGGCGGAGGCGCCGCCCCTGCAATTGCTCGCTCACTCCACCGCTGGCGGAAGGGCCCCAAGACGGAGCTTTAGAGAGCCCATTCAGAGGGCATTTGGCCGACTCTTTCACACTCGGAAGAGTCAAGGCACGTGCATTCTAGAGCACACGTGGGCTGCAGGCTGCTGCACGAGGGGCTCGGCCCCACACGCGCGACTTAGATTTCCCAGCCGGCCCCAGTGGGGAACAAACCCGTGGATCGCGCCGCTGAGGAATGAGAGAAGACGCTTACGCGGGCATATCATCACGCCACACCAAAAAGGCGTCCGTTAAAAGCTCATCGGATTCCTGCGGTGCAAAAAAAATATTCCGATTCTGATTCTGCGAAGCAAACGGTGGACCGAGGCCGGGTTGTCATTCCCATTGAATGTTGTGGTGGCTTTTCATCTGGGAGTACTGGGGGTGGGCAAGGGGAGAGAGAGTTTGGGCTGTGTGCACATTATCTCATACTTTCCCACGCGTTGTAATATTTTAAGAAGGGGGGGGGGGCAGCAGTGGGGGGGCTGCAAGCTGTTTCCATAGCGAGTCGGCACGCGCATACCTTTTCCAGACTTGCGCGCGCGCGCACGCACGCGATCAACATCTCTTGCGCCAATGTACGTTGTGAAAATAAATGTACTGTACTCGCTTTATTCAATTAACTCGTTGTGGAGGGCGCCCAACGCGACAGGGAGCGAGGTTTGCTCCGGAGGTCGCGGACCTGCCCCCGACACCGCGTCCCACGTGCGGCAGAATCCACGAGACGCGGCCTCTGAGCCCGCTGCCGCCAACGACCGGCCGACTCTCGTCACTCAGTTGTTATTGTTGTTGTTGTTTGTTTTGTATTGCCGGCAGTGCGGGTGGCGCGACGGAAACGCGTGCTGTCTCGCGGCGAGAGCGGCCTGGGTTCAACTCCCGACTTGGGGCGTCTTTCTGTGCAGAGCTTGTATGTTGTGTGCTTGTATGTCGTGTGCTTGTATGTCGTGTGCTTGTATGTCGTGTGCTTGTATGTTGAACTTCTTTCGCACCGTACGTAGACAACCGTGCTAATCGGACGTGCGGGGGAAGGACAACAAACTGCATGGGGTTTTTTCTGGGTTTTTTCCCCGTCGCTGAAAGAACCCACAGTGCAACTGATAGCGGCCGAAACATCCCAATGCTGAAAAAAATACCTGAAAATTACTCACTTTGGATCACATACAGTGGCAACATCTTCCCTGCCCCCCCTTCCTCGCAGGACCCACCTGAAAAAGAGTCTTGAGACTCAGTGATCCCTTCGTGGATAAACAAGCACAATCATCTATAATAGTGGGGGGGGGGTTAAGACCGAAACAGGAGGATTTCTACACAACTCTGGTTGTTGCCTGCTGAGGCCGGTTGTAATTGCCGGTGAAACGTCGTAATCGAATTGTAAATGTTGTGGGTTTACTCTCCAACACACCGGTATGCTCAACTATTAATGAATTGGCATGTTTTTTTTACGTGACAAACTGTACTAATTGGCTGTGTCGGGTGCTTGCGGGTTTAACAACACACTTATATCTTACCCAATCTAACAAAACAAAAAACCCTCTATTATTGATAACATTGCTCACGAAAGCCGACTACGTGTTGAAGCACAACAATAATTACACATTACTAATGCTCCATCACAGAGTGAGTGTCCCCCCCATTGCCGGGCGAGTTTTTTTTTCAGGCCACGCCACCGTCCCCTGGTGGGCCATTGCCGACCTCCACAGGTGCTCGCTCACGGAAACGTTTGACCCCAGCGACGTGGGCCCCGTTGTCTCTGTCGTGTGCGAGCAGCACGCTGTCGCAGTGCGGCCACGCCATCGCGGCGCTGCTCTACCCGTTCGCGTGGCAGCACACCCTGGTGCCCGTGCTGCCCGCGTGCATGCTGGACATCGCGTGCGCCCCCACGCCCTTCCTCATCGGCGTGCTTAGCTCCGCCCTGCCCCGCCTCCGAGAGCTGCCCATCGAAGAGGTAAGGGGCCACGTGCAATCCTGGACGTGTCATACATTATTATTTTAAAAAATGTTTGAAATCATTTTTTTTATTTTACCAGGTAAGGCCCCACTGAGCTATGCAGCTCTTTGTTCAGAAGCGACCTGGCCACAAACGATAACTCAACCAAGTGGCTTATTTGGAAATATACAGCAGCCAAATACCCTAAACACATGTTGATTCTTAATGTGGAGGGAAAAACCGGAGGACCCAGAGAAACATCCACGCGACCACGAGGACAGAGACATGCAAACTCCAAATATACAGCAGCAGGCGTAAGGGTCGGGATTAAAACCCACGACCTCCCATATACCAGGCGAGGTAGTTAACATCTCGCCACCGTGGCGCCCCCATATGATCAAGAGTCCACTATTTTTATTGATTTAAACATCACGACAGGTCATGCGACCAGGCTGCCTCTTCCAGGTGCATCACAGCCAGCTGCTCATTACACTAATTAGCTGCGAATTATGAGTTCCTTTACCCAGCATGCACTGATGCTCCGATAAATACGGTTTGCTACGTACGTACGTAAATACATACATGCGGGGTGTTCACTTATGTAGATTGTTATTTCAAGTAAGGACATACAGTACTATATGCTCATTAAAAAAAAAAACATACCATCTGTACATACGCACTGGCGTGGCTCTGAACAAAGTGGTCCCGAGTTGAATTCCCGGCCACGGATAGCATCAGTGGCGAATTATACCTGAATCGGCACCTTGGGTCTCCCTGCTTCATCAACTCGCACCGACCAGCAGGGTTCAACGTATGATCTATGTTGAACTTCTATTGTGCCGTACGTAGCCAACCGTGCTAATTGTAGGTGTGGGGGAGGTAGGCAACAAACTAAACACAAAAATCAGTTCTAAAGAAATGAGGTAGATGGCGGGGGGGGGCTTTTTCCAGCAGTGAATTGACCAACGTCTGTTCCCTGTAATTATTGATCACGTACACCGATGTCTCCCTGCCTCCCCAGGTGCTGTTGGTGGATCTGTGCGGCGATCGCTTCCTGCGCCAGGTGGGTCACGTGCGGGTAGTGAGGCTGCGTCTGCGACGACGCTGCTGCTGCAAGAGCAGTGGCCGTGTATACACTCCGGGGCTTGTACCCAACAGAACGCGACTTAACCCTTTGAGTTGGTGATCTAAACGACAAAAATGGCCCACACGTTCAGTTGTTTTCAGCTGGTGTAGACTGCACACCCCCCCCCTCCCCGTGTGTGTGTGTGGTGTCGATAAATTAGCCATCCAACAAAGACGGCCACTGCATCGCCCGCTTTCGGATGCGCTTCGGCGGCTGTCTGGAACGTTCTTCCTTCCGATATTAGGAAGCCATTGAGAGCAATGCACGTTTAAATCATCTCGACAGACCCTTGTTGTGTGTTAGCCCGTTGTCCTTCCCCCACACCTCCGATTAGCACGGTTGGCTACGTACGGCGCGAAAGAAGTTCAACGTACACACAGCACATACGGAGCGTTCTCCCCGCAGCTGGACGACGAGGACAGCATTCTGCCGCGGAAGCTGCAGGGGGCGCTGGAGCACGCGCTGGAGCAGCGCCACGAGCTGTGCGCACGCGGCCCGGACTCGAGCGGAGAGGAGGCCGAGGGTCAGGAGGACGCGGGAGACGGGAACCAGGGTGAGCGGACACCCCCCCCCCCCACCCCTGAGAGCCCCCCTATTTCACTCAGCTTCTGTAGTGTACGTACAAATGCGCATCCGCTAAACGTGGTGTACCGGCGCGCAGACCGCGGCCCGCTGGATCGCTTCGTCTCCGAGGCGTTTGTGCGCTTCTTCGTCGAGACCGTGGGCCACTACTCGCTGCACCTGGACGCGCTGGAGGGGCGCGAGCGGCGCGCTGAGCCCGGCGGGAGGCGCGAAAGGGCGGAGCGGCGCCTGCAGCGCGAGACCTTCCGCAAGGCGGTGGCCTCCAAGAGCACGCGGCGCTTCCTCGAGCTCTTCATGGAGACGCAGATGTTCGCCGGCTTCGTGCACGAGCGCGAGGCGCGGCGTGCCTGCCCCAGAGGTGAGAGGTCGACGCACCGCACGCACGCACGGACGGACGCACCGGCAGATGGACGGGACGAGCGGTCTCATTGCGTGCGCGAGCAACGGGTCCGTCGCACCGCCGTGCTCTCCCGCATTGCTGGCTTCTCTCCCACTCACACACCCCGTAGATAGCCCCTCGTGTGCCGTGCCGGCCTTCATAGGTGCTACTCGCTAACAGCACTTGGTGATTTTCGAAAAGTTTTTTGGTTTGGCCATGTTTGTTTGTTGTAGTATGGAGTTAGACTGATGGCCTTAATTTAAGTTGTCTTGTGGTTGTTGTTGTTTGACTTGCATCCCACTGGGATTTTTGCACACAGCGTTGGTGTACGGTGCGTTTTCTGCAATATTTTGCTGTCTTTTCTTGGATTTTCTGTTTGCACTTAGTCACATATTCACTTTAAGATGTTTTCATGTTTTTGTTTTTTGTTTGTTGCGGTTGCACCCGATTCAGGAGCCGAATGGCTCACAGGGCTATACCTAATAAATGAACTTGAACTTGATTCGGGGGATCTTTACCTTTGTGTGTTTGTGTGTAGGCCTCTTTGAGGTGCGCGCAGCTCAGTACCTGGCGGAGACGCCTGAAGCGGAGCGGGGAGGGGTCAATCGCTTCCTCAAAGGGCTCGGTGAGTTTGTCGGCACAACAGCGGTCGTGACGGCACCCGCAGCCAGCCTAGGAGCACTCTTGAGGCCACGCGGCGTGGGCGGGGAGCAGTTTGTGGGCCAGACCCCGACTGCTTCTCACTGGGCCACCGCGCTTCGTTGTATCCGCCACGACTTGCCGGTGATCGCCGCGGGCGTCCGTTCGCCTCCCCCCGTTTGTGGCTGGGGTGAGGCCTTAACCGTGTCATTGCGGCTAGCAGGCAGGCTCGCTCCAAAATCGGAATCCACCAGCTGCAGACTCAAAACTTGGCACGAAGGACAATACTGCAATAAAGCGTTCAAAGCTAGCGTGTGTATTGTTGTGTAAAATGCCAATGTACGTGAGGGGGTTGGGAGGGGGGGTTCCCGGCCAAGAAGAACGAGATCCACAAAAGTTCGGCTCTGCGCCAACTTCTGCGTGCCATTGGCAATGGGTAACGCGGCTAATTCATAGCGATCAAGGCAGGTATCCAACCAACAGCCCTCCTCCCTTACCTCTGCCTGCAATTCCACCTCCCACCTCTCTCACTCACTAACAGGCAACAGAATGAAGTTCCTCTCCAAGAAGTGACGCCTCGGGTGCAGCACCGAGGTACGAACTCTGGAGGCCCAAGCCTGAAACGCCGAGGGGTGGGGTGTGGGGTGGGGGCCGACGGTCACCCGTGGCCCAGTCTCGGCCCCTAAAAGAAGTCCCGGTGGCGGGGGCCTGGTTGGGACCGGGGGCGTCCTTGAACCCGAGGTGGAGTCGGGAGGTCAAGGGTCACGGACGGGGACCCACGCAGGGATCGACAGCCTCGGCTTGAACCTGGCGGGACGGCGATGGGGGGCGGTGACCCCCCAGGTAGGGGACGGGCTCTGCGCGTCCGCGGAAATTAAAACGGGGAGGCCTGCTAACGAGCGTCGCGTCGCAACGGACTGGCTGCTCAGTGTTTGCAGTTCACACTGGCAACCGATGTTGGGGGGGGGGAGGGGGGCTAGGGGGGTTACCATGGAGTGCAATGGAATGGGGTGAAGGCAAAGGGAGGGGTCTGCAGCGTGCGGAACGCAGAGTGAGTGGGATGGGAGGGAAATGGACGAGGTCCACCTGAAGGGAGAGCTTGAGACGGAGATCGATGGTAGGGCAGCGTTCGCGGGAATGTCGGGCGTTGAGACTTGAGAGGCGACCTACTTCCCCCGATTTTGAAGGTACAACATCCATTGCGAGTTTAAAATCTCAGACGTAATGTGCGTCACGTAATACAGTATCCGCAACCCAGTTTTTATCGCGTTCCTATAAATTCATTTGTAGCCTGTTGAATCCATTCTTGTTCAGTTTATTGCTGTCCAATTCTTTTAGTTTCCATCAATATTGGACAACTGCAGTCCATTTCCTTGTATTTATGTGCGTCAGGTACTTGAGTGCATTTATCCACATTTAGCGAATTTCTGTGAAATCTAATCCGAGCGCAATTCAGTTCAAGTCTTCAAATAAACCCGCGTAGAGGAGTCCTGCTGCCGGTACTGACGTCTTCGTCCCAGTCCGTGTATTTATTTGAATTTGTGACGCGTTGTGTCCATCGCTATTCGTCCGCGGTGTCTGGCAGTCTTCTTGTTTACCAGTTATTTACGAAGCCTTACTAACGTCGTCGCGAGCGAGCGAGCGAGCGCGTCCGCGGATAACGGGGCAGAGCCGGGGGGGAGGGGGGTTTGGGGGGATTGCAGCTGTGAGCGACTGAACCCCCCAAAAAGGAGCACCGTAGCAAGCAAAGGCTCCGAGCCCACGGAGTGGCATCGTTCCCGTGAATCGGGCGGGGGACGCGCACGGGCAGCAAGCGAGCGCCGGAGCACGCACGGCGAGCCGCCAGGTGACGGAGCCTCGTCCGTAGCCGTGAGCGCAACGGGGAGGGGGGCAGCGACGGTGGCTGCACGGGGCGGGGGGGGCGGTGATGCGCACGTGGTAGGGTGAGGAGGTGAAGGGCGAGGGACGGGGCAGTGCTGAAGAGCCACGGCGGTCGGCGGACAGCGACGATGGGCTCCTGGGGAAAGAGACACGAGGGACGGTGGGGAGACGGCGAGAGGGAGGGAGGGAGCTTTTGAACGAAGAGGATCGTGGGAAGGCAGTGATGCTGTTTGGACATGGTGGGGGGGGGGGGGGGCAGTGAGAGGAGAGAGGATATGGAGCTTGGAGAGAGATAGGAGGTGAGAGGAGGGTATGATGACACAGGAGGGTACGGAGGTGAGAGGAGGCTGGCACAGGAGGGTAGGGAGGTGAGGGGAGAGAGTATGGCACTGGAGGCGAGGGAGGAGGCTGCCACAGGAGGCTGGTCGGTGCGGGGAGCGGCGCTGGTGTCTGCGTGTCGCGCTGCACGCACTCGGCAGGGGGCACTCCACGCTGCTTTGCACGCAAGCTGAAACACTGCACACCGCACGTGTCGACTGTACATATATTTTATATATAACTCTGTTTTTTGCAATTTTTAAAATAAAACATTGTCGATACGTTGCACTTGGTATCATGCGCGTGTGTCGTCATTCTGCATAATATGTCAAACAGACTGGTCTCTGTCTTTAACTTTTTAAAAGAACATTTCACACGGAGGACCCACGTGTCCTTGCGACGATGTGTGCGTAAGCCAGTGATGACAGACTCAAACAAGTCCAGCTCCAGATTCATGGAGAGACTGAGATGCTGGGTCTCTTACCTGGGCTTGCCATTAGCATTTAAAATATAAATGTTCCGTGCATAGCTCGATGAGCAATGCTCCGTCACAGACGACCGCACGGAATTAGAAACGTGCGCACGACCACGGGTGTCCAACTGTGATGTGACGAAAACTGAATCGTGCATAGACGGAGGTAAACACTCGTAAACACTGACTAATGCCAGCCCCGTGGGCTCGGAGCCCGTGTGTAACGAAACGGCAGTGGAGCGCACGCGCGCTGTGGACCGCTGGCTCATCTCTCGCGTCCGGGACGTGCGCTAAGAGCATAGCCCTTGGACAGCAAAGAGTTCAAACGGCAATTTCGCGATGCCGAAAAATAACCTCGCAAACTACTCGACGGGGATTCCTGCACACGCGGGATAATCTTCTCTCCCCCCCCGAACCCCCCTCCCTGCGAAAAGTTGACAGGGAACCTCTTGGAAAAAAAAGTGTCTTGAGACTCTGTTAGGCTCTCCTAGGTAAACAAGCACAACAACAACAACAACAGTAAGCAGCGTGGAACTGCGGGAAGAGGAGGAGGCGAACTTGCTCTCTCAAGGCAGACGAAGCTCAGCGGCGTTCGTTCAAGCGCTGCCCACAGCCCCGGCCAGAATCGCGCGCTGCTCCCGCAGCAGCAGGAGGAGGTGGCGAGGAGGCGGTGAGTCGTCCCCCACCTGCTCGCCGCGGCTACACTCAGTCCCAACACTCACCGCTTAAATATAACACTTAATTATGTAAACGGCAAAACACCGGACAAACTCCACGGCCGTGCACAGTAAAGCCACGCTTATATAAGTTATACAATTGGACAAAATTCACGCGGTTTTACACCCAGCACTTCTCGCTCGCTCGCTTTGTAAGTCTTTCTGTGGACAGTGGCGTGGCCAGCGAGTGCGCAGGCAGTGCAACTGCACCGGGGCCCCACGGCCCAGCCAGTGCCCTGACCCCCCTCCCCCAAGCTACACCTGTTCCCAACATACTTATCGGGGTTGGCGATAATACGACATCGTACAATTTAAGGTCCGTTTTGAAAAACATGAGATTTCCATCCGGTATGGATACAGTGGGAGGATGATTAATACCCAGATATGGTCTAGCAATGGCTCCCCACTGGTTAACCATGTCATGTTTACTAACTCGCTGGTAATTGCTGCTGACTCTGACAAGCAGTTGGAGCCGTGGAGGAGAGAAAATACGCAGGGGAACCCAGTTACCGCCTCGCACTGGATCCCATAATGATCAGCCACACAGGCGCCACTGTGCGGAAACGCTTCAGAGGTGTGTCCCCCGCACGTTGTGCTTGACGCGGGGGCTTGGCCCCGCGGGTGAGGATGTGGTCAGTGGAGCGGTGGGACAGCCGTTGGGGAGCTCCGCTCGGGGCCTGCGAGGGGGGGCACTCCGTGCTCCGCTCGCTCCGTGCTTCGCTCGCTCCATGCTCCGCTCGCTCCGTGCTCCGCTCGCTCCAGCTTCGCCAGGTTTTCCAGCAGCGCGAGGCTGCCGGGCTCCAACTGCCGAGCTCTCTCGTAGAGTTCGCGGGCGCCCCTGTAGTCCCCCTGGCAAACAAAGACAAAGATCCCCCATATAGCCTGCGACAGACTGTTGGGGCAAGTGCCGTTCGGGAGCACCTTTGAAGGCCAGCAAAGCGCGCGAGGGGGTGGGTGGCCAGCACCACGCCCGGCCACCTTTGTCTCCCCAGTAGCGATGTTTACCACACCGCACCAGGTACTCATTTGAGGCTGAGTCGACCTAGGGGAAGCCCACGATTGGTTCCGAACTCGGGTAATAGCCGGGAGGCACAAAGAATCACAAAACAAGTGGAGAGGCAGCCACTTGGTGAGCCGCCACCGGCAATTGCCCAAGCTCTGCAGGTTCTCTATATATGATTATTTAATGAGTGTTTACATGTGGGACAGACCCGGAGCACCCGAAGAAATCCCACACGTACGAGGGGGGGGGGTAACACTATCCCCGCACAGATGGAACAGATGAGAGTCCACATTTTCTGCGCCGTCTTCTGTAAAGTCGGGTTACGGTATTTGTGACTCCCACGGGAGTTTAAACATATTTCGCGCGATCCACCAACCCCTTGGTGCGTAGCCACCAGGATAACAGCGTCACGGATAAGAGGGGCTCCGCTGGCGATCAGAGCGAACGCTTGCCACGCGGTCTCCATGGGACGCGGCGTCGTCTCACCTGCACGTGCAGCACGGCTCCCATGTTCATCCACGCGGGCGCCAACGAGGGCTCCAGTTGCACGGCCTCGTGGTAGCTCTGCGGAAGACGGCGCCCGCGACGTTCGCGTTGGCAAAGCGTCTCGGACCGGTTGCGCGGCGTGCACGGCGAACGCGCGCGACGAGCGTTTTAGAAGACGAGGGCGGACGGGATTCAGAATTATCCGTCTCCCACGCGCGTTCACGACGACGGCTGGTTCGTTCGTTTGAAAAACTGACGTTCGCATCGAGGTTCATCTGGACAAATGAACGTGCTATTTTGAACCTTGGCAAAGTAACAAACAAACACACGCGTGGCTGGGAGTTCACCTCGGTGTAAGTTCATCGCTACGTTTCGCATAGCGCGGTTGACGTGGGCCCAGGTGCCAAGAAGGAAATTGGGGGCGGGGGGAGGTGACTGTCAAATTCCATCACCCTCCCCCCCCCCCCACTATTTCCAAAGCCCGGCACCTGGATCCCTCCGGCTAGTGGGCCCCGGTGCCACTGCACCGGCTGCTGCAGGCGCCTCCGCGGGCATCACCGGGGGCACCGGCGGCAGTGAGGTCGCACGCGACGAGTGCGCTCGCCCGGCGGCACCTTGAGGGCGTCGTGCGTGCGGCCCAGCTCCCGCAGGTGGTTTCCCTCGGCAAAGTGGAGGTCGGCGAGGAGGCGCGAGTCCGGGGGCCTCAAGCGGATGGCGGCGCGCACTGCCTCCAGCGCCTGCACCGCTCGCGCGCAAAACACAAAGATCCCCCGCGTAGCTCTTTAGCGGACCGCTCGGGGCGAGTGCCGCTTTGGCGAAAGCCACCGGGCGAGGCACCGGCGCCCGGCCGTAGCTTTTGTCTCAAATTGGAGGTGGCGGCCCCCGGAGCTGACCTGCTGCGTGCTTCCCGCCTGCGCGTGCAGCGCCGCCCGCAGGCGGTGGCACTCGATGCACGCGGGGTCCAGCGCCAGCGCGCGCGTCACGGCCCGCTCGGCATCCCGCACCTCCCCCAAACGCACCAGCACCTGTGCCTGTGCACACAAGTACAAAGATCCACCGTATAGCCTTAACAGACTATTGGGGCAAGTGCTGTTAGCGAGCACCTATGAATGACCGGCACGGCACACGTAGTGGCGATGTTTACACACCGCACCAGGTACTTATTTGAGGCTGAGTCGACCTAGGGGAAGCCCAGGACTGGTTCAGATAATCGCCATTGATGTTTGCCGTGAGCGGAAATTGAACTCGGGTCACCAGGTTTGCTAACCGCTACACTATCGCTTCCCACACAGACACACGCACAGGTGCACACTGTGCTAAACGAACGCCAACGTGAGAGGGCGTCGCTGGGGCGAGATGTTAACTACCTCGCCTGGTATACAGGAGGTCGTGGGTTACATCCCGACCCTGACGCCTAATATATATATGTAGTTTGCATGTTCTCCCTGTGGTTACGTGCAATTTTTCTCCGGGTTTTCCCTTCCATATTTAGAATCAACATCACGCATTTAGAGTATTTGGCTGCTATCAATTTCCACACGTCAAGCCGCTTCGTTGGAAGCTGGACGAGTAGCCACCAGTGAAAATTGAAGTTGTCACTTCTTGTGGAGGAGGGTGTACGACACACATCGCTACATCGTGGTGGTGAAGCCGAGCCGTGCCCGTGCGCTAGGTTCCTCCGCGCGCTCGGCTCGCGTGGCATCACCAGAGCCAGGGCGCTGCTCCTGCTCGAGGGATCCCGCTCCAGGGCCTCGCTGTAGGCGCCGAGCGCGCCGCGTGTCCGCCCCGTGTTGTAGTAGAGGGCCCCCAGCAGCGACAGCGCCTCCGCACTGCGGTCCACCTCCAGGCAGCTGCGCTCAGACGCCAGACACGGACCCACCCCGCGCGGCCGCGCCGTCAGGGCAAGCGCCGCGAGCGACGAGTCGCGTGTGTCACCTTGCCGCTGTCGAGCGGCGAGCGGGGAGACGCCGAGTTGGGGGCGGGAGGGGGGTAATGAGAGACGAGGACGGCGGCCCTACCGGAGGTACCAGTCCTCGGCCTCGCGGTTGTGGCCGCGGGCGCGCGCCAGCCGCCCCAGGTTGACGAGCGCCACGGAGTGCGAGGGGTTGAGCTGCGTGGCCCGCATGTAGTGGCCGCGGGCGCGCTCCTGGTCACCTGGGAGGGCACCGGCACACCGCGCCAGCAAAGGTTGGCACGCCGCTGGGCGCGCGGGCTCTAGTCCGTCTCTCCACGTCAAACGCGTTTCTAAGTCCGTCAGCATTTGTTTCAGCAAGCAGGCTGCACTGGTTTCTAATTTCCTGGTTGTCATCAGCAGTCAGGCCTGTTGAAGAAGTACTGCTGCTGGCTTGCTGCCTGTTTTAGCTGGAGCCGACCCAAATCCTACGAGACCCACTTCAGCACAAAGCAGCATTAGCACTCACATGGAGTATTTATTATTGTTATTGTTGTTATCCCTCTGTCATTCCACTGTTGGACGGAGGCCTTTTCTGGCCGTGTCGATCATAGGGGTTGTGTGACCATACTTCCCCATGCTGGTTAGCGGGGGTTGGTGAAAAGACTGCAAGCTGGACACTTGAGATAAAGAAGTCAACGCTAATGGCATAAGTTCACAAGAGGGCTCCATAGAAATATTTTAAGAGTTTAAAACCGTTTTTACTTTGACCTTTGAGATGAGAGAATCCGTCGACGTTGAGGTCACCCATGCATAACTCTTGCTTCTTTCGGTAAAGTCACGTAGGTAAAGAAAATAATGAATAAAAAATATATATAAAAAAAAGATAAAAAAATAAAAAATATTCTTTACCTACATGACTTTGCCGAAAGAACCAAGAGTATGGATCCTTGCAGTCACGATAACTTCAAATCTAGAAAGCCACCCATGCAACCCGCGTCGCGGCGCGACTGCCGCCCGTGCCGTACCTCGCTCAAGGAGGAAGGCGCCGTAGTTGTTGTGAAGATCCGCGTTGTTCGCGTGAATCTCCAGCGCCGTGCGGTACACCTCCTCCGCCTCGTGCGCGCGATTCTGCATCGCACGGGACGTCGTCCTCTCAGCGGCAATATCAAACCGAACTTTTTATTCTACCAGCTAAGGTCCACTGAGCTATGTAGCTATTTCGTAGACATTTTTAGCAGCCAAATGCTCTAAATGTACGTTGATTCTAAATGTGGAGAGAAAACCAGGAGTATCCGGATAAAATACCACGCGACCACGGGTGGAGAGACTTGCAGACTCCAAAAATACAGCAGGCGTCAAGGTCGGGATCGAACCCACGACCTCCTGTATACGAGGCGAGGTAGTTAACATCTCCTAGCCACCACGGCTCCCCATTTATACGAGGCGGCGAGTAGCCCCCGTGGGTAGGAGGCGCTCGGAATCTTCAAACGAGACACCAAATGTACCAAAGGCTCACGGCCATGGTGATTATCCCAAAAAACCGTCAGCATTGCAACACAGACACCTGGGGGCACACAGACACATCTGCACACACCTGCACACACACACACCTGCACACCCACCTGCACACACACCTGCACACCCACCTGCACACCTGCGCACACCCCCACACACACACACACCTGCGCACACCCCCACACACACACACCTGCACACACCTGCACACACCCGCACACACCTGCGCACACCCCCACACCCACCTGGGCAGACAGCAGCGAGGCCAGCCCCGCGAAGGCGTCGGCGAAGTGCGGCGCGACCCTCGTGGCCCGCCGGTACAGCCGCTCCGCCTCCTCGCCCAGCCCACGGCTCCTGGGGACGGCAACAGCCGCAGACGCCGCTCAGCCGGAGCGGCTCCTCGCTCTCCGGTCCGTGCAGAACCGGCCCTAGACCTTTGGGGGCCCTAAGCAAAATTTGGTTGGAGGCCCCTTTGATGTATGATTTTCTTCACCCACCAGCTAGCAGTGACTCTAGGGGGCCCTCTGCTAGCCACGGGGCCCTTTGCAATTGCAAGGGTCGCTTAGTGGCTGGGCCGGCTCTGGGTCCGTGACTCTACCAGCGAGACTTCCACAGTTCAAGTGGCCTCAAGGTGCAGGAACTGAATTAATTTCCTTGATTAAATTTAGAGCAGTTTAAAACTACTACACCTAGTGACGAATGGCGGTTGTTGTTGGGGAACCTAGCACTGTGGTTAGCGCGCACTGCACCCTCCTATTGGCACGGTCGGCTACTACGTACGGTGCGAAAGAAGTTCAAGGTACAGACAGACATGCACAGGAACCCACTGAGGACCCAGATCAGTGGTGAGGATGTGAACTCGAGCGGGGCCACCCAAGGGTGCCCGAGCCTGCCTCTTTCGCTACTCGGTGATGTAGAACATTCCAAAATAGATAAGTAACAGAGAAGAAAGATAACAATTTAAATATACCGTGACATGTACAGTATATTCAAGTTAAATAAAGAGTTACACCAAAACATGCTACTAATATGAAGGTTTATTTTTATCAAATGTTTAAGCAAATCTTTTCCCTCAATGACTTGTACCGTAAACAATATGTGAATGCAAAGCACAGATTTGTGAGTGAACAAAAGCCTTCATCAGACTCTACAATAAAGTATTTTGCTTTAAGGTCACGTGTTTTGCCATGTGTTTTGTTAAAAACTGTTTTTGCCTTTTGTTCCGTGAGTGATAAGAAAGCCCAAGGGGAGGTAAGATCTTTTTTTCTTTAAAGCGAGAGAGATTGAGGAACAAACGGTACGTGGAATCGTAGGTGGTTTGAGGCGAAGATTTTAAACATTTTGTTGGGGATGCCGAGGACTGCCCTTGGAAAACTTTCTATCCTCGGCAAGCCCTACCACCAAGGCTTGAAACACTGACATCGACACACTGCTCGCTCCAGCAACACGGAGGTTAGGTGAAGGGGATGGTGTTATTGCTCCGAGCAGCCGGCTCATAACAGATGCCTCCCACTGCTAAGCTGCCCCTGGCTATCAGGGACTGACTGGGCCAAAAGGAAACCAGATATTTTAATAATCATTATAATAATACCAACTTGTAACCCCCCACACAGTGTTCGCTCGCAAGCCGGAGAGGCAGCCAATTGGTCAGCCGGTGCCAAATTTCCCTCCAAGCTCTGCGGTACTCCATATATAAAGGTGTAATAGGTCAATTAATGAGTGTTTACACGTGGTAGGAAACCGGGGCATATGGAGAAAACCCTTGCGTGGGTTTTGATGTTAAGCTGTTGCTTGAGTTGGGTTATCACACACTCCCCACGACTGCCTGTCGCTGTGTCTCTCCAGTGGACTCTCTACCTGCCTAGCTACCGTCATCCTCGTAACCGAGGGTTGATGTCCATGACAAGACGTTATCCACGTTTTGCGATCTTTGGCATCATCCATGGAGAGCCCTATCCCACGTCTCACACTGTTCAACCAACCACTCCCTCTGTCCTTACATTTTCATCTGTGTACGAACATCGTCACTGCTCCTCGATCGGTTTCCTCAGCAAAATGTACTTCTAGCGGTTCTGTCTCCTCCTCCTCTTTCTTCGACTTGTCATCGCACAAACTCACTCGCTCACTTATCCTGCATCACCGCACCTCAAATGCATTTTGGTCTTTGCATTTCACCCGTCCACAATGACTCCCTAAGGGGGGCCGAATGGCCAGGTGCCCAGTCTCATTCCTCCTCGCTTGTTTCTGTCATTTTGCCACCCGTTCAGTTTCGCTATCTTAGGACGGCTGTCATATTTTTCTCAATGAAGTTGGACCTGGCAAAGCCAGCAAGTAGTAGCAGGTTGCTATTAACCCTTTCCTGTTCCGAGACGTCTGCAAGTTGCAGGGTGGGTGTCCCGTTCACCGCTGAATCTCGGAACGCATAAGTGGTTCGCGTTAATTTCATTTAGAGAAGCCATGCGCTGCTGTTATTAAAGACATTGTACTCACCACACAGAACTGTAGCAACACGACCGCGCTCAATGATAGCTGGCGCCAAACTGTACCACACGCCCTCCCGCATGACCTTGTGGGAGTCTCGGTACCGGTAAAGTTCTTCTATTTTATCACTACGTCAATAGAACGGAATCGGAAGAGAGGCTGACGACGTACACGCACGTCATCGGAACGGGAAAGGGTTAGCGAACTTCCGAGTGGCGTTCACCCTTCCGCCGCTCTCAGCGGTTGGCGAGATGGTCACCTGAGCAGGTTGGCGAGGTTGAACATGGCTCCGGCGTGCGCGGGCGCGGCGGCGAGCGCGCGTCTGTAGAGGCTCTCGGCGTGTCCCAGCTCGTGAGCCAGCGTGCCCAGGTTGTTGAGCGCACTGGCGTGGCCCGGGCACAGGCTGCGATCGATCGCGAGCGGGCGACGGGGATACAGGGGTGGGGGGAGGAGGGGGGGTTAGGATGACAGCCGTGCGTACGCGAAACGGTCGAGCGAGACGCTCACGCGGGCACACGGGTTCGTTGGCACGCGCGCGTACCCGGGCACCACAGAGTGCACAGTGACACGCGAGCAGTTACTGCATGGGCACGCGCGACGCGACGCGACGTGGACTTGAAATGTTTTTTCCAGAAGAGTTGGTTCTAGTCCAGGGTACGCACGCAGCTCGGCAAAAAAGGTTGTGTCGTCGTTCGGGAACGGGGGTTGTCGTCGGAGGCTTCTCACAGCGTCGCCACTCGCTGCGTTAAACGCTCAGCGACCGCTCTCACTCCGTGCCCTGACAATGTGCCGGGTCATCAATCTTGGCTTCTCGGGATAAATCATCCGCTCTATTTTTCTCTGCATTCACTCATTCACTATTCCTTCACTCTCCTTTTCCCCCCTCGTTCACTACCCTTTCACTCCTCAGTCACTCTCCATTCACTCTCCAATCGCTTCCCATTCACTCCGTGTTTACTTCTCATTCACCTCCGCATTCACGGGCAGATGCTCGGAGCGGGTGGGAAGCGGCTGGGAGGCACTCATCCTCTCGATGTCCCCACACCCCGCCATTGCTTCTTCCCTTCTGCCAGCTTCCGCAGCTTCTACGCAGCCAACATTTAATGTCCCCCTGTTGTGTCCGCACGCACCGCTCCCCCCACCGTTCACAGCATCCTAGAGTTGCCCCCGCGACGGGTTTGTGTAGCCGAGTGTCGACGCGTGACGGTGCGCGACCGTGCACAGGTGTGCTGCTGCTGCTGCGGTGGCGGTCTGTACCTGAGCGCAGCCCGGTAGTGTTGCCGTGCGCGCTCCGTCTCGCCCTTGTCCCGCAGGAGGTTGGCGTAGTTGTAGTGCGCCTTGGCATTATGTGGCAGGGTCTCCACACCCGACCTGCGCCCGTGCGCACAAAGACACGGATCCACCCTCAGAGCCTTATCAGACGTTTTGGGGCAAGTGCTGTGAGCGAGTAGCAGCACCTGTGAAGGCCGGAGAGGGTGGGTGACTAGCACCACGCCCGGCCGCCTTTGTCTCCCCAGTGGCGATGTTTGCACATCGCACCAGGTACTCATTTGAGGCTGAGTTGACGCAGGGGAGGCCCAGGACCAGTTCAGATAATCGTCACTGGTGTTGGCCGTGAGCAGGAATGGAACATCGGATCGCCGGGTTCGTAGCGAAACGTAACGCTCACTGCGACACTACCGCTCCCCACAGACACACACAGACACACAGACACACACAGACACACACAGACACACACACAGACACACAGACAAACAGACACACATAGACACACAGACACACACAGACACACAGACACACACAGAGACACACAGACACACACAAGCGCGTCCGATACGCGCGCACACTCAAGGGTGGCTTCACAGACACGTCTCTCTGGAAACAGTAGTTCCGACCTCGGGTGGTGCATGGGGATGACACAAATTGAAACAGAAGACAAAATACCGTCGCGCAGACATGATTCAGCGTAACAAATTCAAGTCAATTCCCGGTCCCTAAAGTCGACTCGCAGATAATATCTTTGGACCGAACACGGCGTGCCGATGAACAAAATAACCGAGTGAAGCAAAGAGCGGCGAGCAGACGATGAGAACGGAGGTGTACGATGAGGATTGGACGACGAGGAGGAAAAGGAGGATCGCACCTGCGATCAACGCGGCTGGCTACGTACGTTGCGAAAGAAGTTCAACACGCATGCATCGGACGAGGAGGATCGGGACGACGAGGATGAGAATCGGGACGAGGAGGAGGAGCGCTCGCTCACCTGAAGAGGGCCTCGCGGGACCTCCACACCTGGTTACGCTGCAGAGTCTTGGCGGCGAAGAGCGCCAGCAGGCAGAGCGCCGCCGCCGCGACGGGCGGCCGGGCCCGCGAGCCCACGCGGAGGTAGAGCGAGGTGAGCGCGTGCGTCACCAGCAGGCAGGAGCCCATGCTGCGGGCAGGGCGGGAGGGTGAGACGGCGCAACGCGAGATCACGAGTCTGCTCTTCCTGTTGTGTTCCCGAGGAACGCCGCGTTCTAGGAAAGCTCGCGTTGCGTAGATGTGGGGTAGAGCAAGGGCCGCGGTAACACGCGAGATGCGCGCGCAGGCTGAACAAAGACTTGAGGGCGCGTGGGTAGCATGCAGAAGTATCCAGCAGCATCCCGCCGCCCTGTGCGATGCTACGCCGAGGCAGCCGTACGACCGCTTATTCCTTCTCGCGTTGCGACGTAGTCCTGTTAACTCGATCGCGTTATATCCAATTCGCATCTGCGTTTGTAAAAAAAATGTGTTCCCGCTCACGGCCGACACAGTGATGATTATCTAAACCGGTCTTCCCCTAGGTAGACTCAGCCTCAAATGAGTACCTGGTGCGGTGTGTAGTTAACATTGATACTGGGGAGACAAAGGCGGCCGGGCGTGGTGCTGAACAGCCACCCCCTCGTGTGCTGTGCCGGCCTTCATAGGTGCTACTCGCTAACAGCCCTTGCCCCACTGGTCTGTTAAGGCTATATGGGGGATCTTTGTCTTTGTGCTGTGTGATTGTGTGTGTGTGTGGGTGCAGGGAGAGGGGGTGGTAGGGGTAATATTTGATGACTTGTATCGGACTGTATCCCTCAGGCGCATGTTTGTTGGTTTCATTAATTTCTGCTCACGTGACACATTGTGCACGCGCAGAGGCACCAAGACTGCAGCTCAATAAGTCGCGAAATAAATCAGCAGACGCAACGGCTACATAACTCCCCAACATGAATAAAAGCATTCCTTACACCCCCCCCCCCCCGCCAGTGCCTTCTGGGAATGCACAATTGCAGCAGCATCGATTCAAGCGCAAACGAAACGAACCCTGGGCCGGTTTCAACACACAGTGACTCGTCAGCAGACTCAGGGCTCGCTTGACGCATTTGCTGCCAGATGTCACCCCGCTAATCATGCATCTCTCTCGCACCTCCCGCTGCCTCGCCTCCCCCGTTATGCCCTCGTATCTCGCAGGCTGTTGCAGATCCCAAAACAGTAACTTTGTTACAAGGGCCTCCAAAGGGATCAGATCATTCACTCACACTCTCTCTTCACAGCATTTACGCCGTTCCCAGACGGTCGTCTGACTGATGGGATGTGTGGAATCTAATTGTGTGTGTGTGCTTTTTATACGGATGGACATATTTACGAAGGTGGTGAAGTGTCCTCTTATTTGTTTAGTGTAGAGACGGCCTCACGTGCATCTCGTGATTTTATTGATTTAGTTTCCTTTATTATTATTATGTTATTATTTTTAACCTACGTGACTTTACCGAAAAAACCTAACAGCATCACGTGCTTCTGTTGTACGAGCGAATGAATTGGTGAACGAGCGTCTGAATGACCGAGGGAATGAGTGGATGAGGCAGAGCTGACGTGACTGGGTTATGGAGAAATTGGGGAACGTGAAATCACGCCGTGGTCGATGGGGGGGGGGGCTGGAAGAAGGACAAATGCCAGACATTCCGAAGGGTTTGGAGGTCTGCCAGCACCACCACCACGGCCGGCCGCCACGGGGCATAAATAAACCCTCCCCACCACGCAGCCCCACACACAACAACGACTTCAACTACAAAAACCACAACAACGCTCCGCAGCCTGGGCTGAGCACTGCAGTCGCTTGCATCGAGACGTCGTCGCGAGCGACTGAATGCTCAGCAGCGGCTTTGACACTCAGCCACACGGGTGAATCCCGAGCATGATAATGTCATCAACTGCAGCAGCCTTCTCACTCCACTGCTGGATGAAGGCCTCACCAAGCCACCGCCGCCGTCTCTTGCAATCCTGCGACGAACGGTCGCAACGATCCGCCTAGCGCCTGCACGCGAGCCAATTTGATCGGATGTTGGGCAAGACTGGTGAATTGCAATTACCATTGGCGCCTCTGGCTTTTGCGGACAACGAAAAGGCATCATCTAACCGCTGACTGCTTACTCGTTAGGGAATTCCCACGTGCCCAGGTAACTTTTGCCTCCCGTGGTAAGAATATAAACGGGACATTCCCGCCACCCTTGGTTTGTGCAAGCCTGCATAACTGAATTAATTTCTCCCGGTTACCTGACGACGAGACATTGCCTGGACAGGTAGGTGTGTTGAACTTCTTTCGGACCGTACGTAGCCAACCGTGCTAATCGCAGGTGCAGTGTTGAGTCTATGGCAGTGTTGAGTCTGTGGGCAGTGTTGAGTCTGTGGGCAGTGTTAGTCTATGGGCAGTATGTATGTGTGTATGTCCAATTATTTCGCGCCGTACGTAGCCAACCGTGCTAATCAGAGGTGCGGGTCACTCCGATTCGGCGGAGGTCACACGCCGGAATGCCACGTGTTTTTTTTATTATTTGAGAGAGAGAAAAGGCCTTGCCTGGGCAAGTAGAGAATGCGCTCGGCCATCACGAAGCCGACGCGAAAGAAGAGGTTGCTCGCCGGGAGGAAGGGCAGCACGAGGAGCAGCAGGCCCGCCGTCAGAACCCGGCGCTCCTCCACCTAGGCACGCACGCAAGAAAACATAGACAAAGATCCCCCCCACCACCCCACCGTATAGCCTTCAACAAGACTGTTGGGGCAAGTGCTGTCCGCGAGCCGCACCTATGAAGGCCGGCACGGCACACGTGACGGGGTGGGTGGCCAGCAAACCACGCCCGACCGAATTTGTCTCACCGCACCGGGTACTCATTTGAGGCCGAGTCGACCTAGGGGAGACGCAGGAACGGTTCAGATCAGATCACCGTCACTGGTGTCGGGCGCGAACGGGAATCGAACCCGGGTCACCGGGTTCGTAGCGCAGCGTGCTAATCGCGACACTAACCTGCTCCACTGACCGCTCTCAACCTACGCACGCACGCACATGCGGGAGGAACACGCGGGAGACGCACGCGGGGCCACGTGCACAGGTCGCACGTACACGGGATGCATGTACGGCGGTGGACGTGGGACGTGTTGCGGTTGGGGTGGACGGGCGACGCGGCGTTCAGGCTACACAGCTTTGATACCTGCGGAGTGCGAGCACAGCGCACGGCGATGATGCCCAGGCCCAGCGCCAGGCCCGTGGGCGCGAGGACGCGCGGGTCGCGGGCCGAGGTGAGCAGCTCCACGCTGCCGGCCTGCCAGTCGTAGCTGAGCGTGCGTGGGCACAGCAGCAGCCACGCGTTGAGCGCGCACAGGTAGGAGTAGGTCAGGAACCTGCCACACGACGGCAAGACAACGATCACACACAACGACCAAACACAGCAGCAGCAGCAACAGCCACGTGTTAAGTCAGATCTGTCAACGACGAGAATAAAAGCCCCACCGTAACGGAAAACTAGCGCAGGCTGGAATAACATAGCTTTCAAAACAAGATGCATTAATGTCTAAATAGCGCACGGGCTCTGTGCATAACGCAAATAATTAAAACCGTCAGCAGTTCCTCAAGGTGTGCATTGTGGGCATCATGCCTGCTGGTCACCTTAGCTGACCTGCACAGGCAAGAGTATGTCGGGAACCCACACCACTAGCGCCTGTTACATCACTTGAAGGTGTGACTACGCTAGAGGCTCACAGTCCTTCGTCAATCCACTCTCGCAAATGAGACTACCCACAACCCTAGTTTGTTGAGTTCTCAGCTGGTTAAACAAAGTAAACTTGATTCTAGATTTGAAGCTTTCGTGACTGCAAGGATTCATACTCTTAGTTCTTTCGGTAAAGTCACGTAGGTAAAAAAAATGAAATTAAAATTAATAGAAATAAAACAATAAAAATCACGACGTTTCGGAGGCAACACAAGCTTCCGTCTTGAATCCACTGCTGGATGAAGGCACCCCCCCCCCCCATGGCCATGACCGTTGTGCAGGGTTATTTCACCAAACTTGACCACACTGGTCACACACTGGTCAGGGGGGGTCAGCGGGGGGGGGGGGGCGTTCAGGACCGGTTCAGATGTGTCCACTGGCCATGACTGGGAATCAAACTCAGTCCGCCAAATTCAGAGCGCAGTGCTTGCGTGATTGTTTGTATAAAGCCAGGGGGTTGGCAATCAGAATCACAAGAAAGCATTTTTTTTTCGAATTCGGTACAAGACTCAATATTTCAAAAGCCGCAATGCACGTGAACAGCATGCATACGATAATAATAGGGTTTTTACCCTTTTATCTGGCACAAAACTGACCCCTTTTTACAAGGGATTATGTTTGCATTAACAACAATACCTGTGGTCAAAATGCAAACAAAAAACATCACTCACATGATAATGTATGCATTGTCCTTTCAAGTCCTTTCAAGGACAATGCATACATTATCATTTGAGTGCTGCATACATGATCAGACTGCTGTTTTTTGTTTGCATTTTGACCACAGGTATTGTGGTTAATGCAAACATGATCCCTTGTAAAATGGTGTCAGTTTTGTGCCAGATAAAAGGGTAAAAACCCTATTATTATATTTTGCTACTGGCAAAGGAGGTCTCATGATGTAAATAATATCACATACGTCACACCACGGAGCAGTTGTTGTTGCACAGCGAGGGGGCGAAAATCAATTAAAACCCAACAATTTTTAATGAGTGCACAAAACAACCCCCTTCTTCATCTCTGCATTTAGCTCGTTGTTTCTGCGATGAGCCGGCTCGAGTAACACATTATTGTTGTTGTTGTTGCTTTTAAATTGGAGGGCAGTTTCACAAATGAGGCTAACCCCACAGACAATCATTCCAACCGTACGCGCCAGTTCGAGGGGGATTATGTACAGTCTAATAAAATGCTTATTTATGGAATAAGTTCATGTTTTGTTACACACACACACGGAAACTGAACATTCCATCAGCATTCCAGCATTGATTTAAAAAATCAGTTCTTTCTGAGTACCTCCAATGCCGTGGTAGTTCATGAGCGTTCATCAAGAAATGTGGACAATTTATTCCAGATGAATTGCAGCTCTAACTGGTTGATATACATGTCCAAGTAAAAAAAGCCACATAATGATTACACTAAATACCACTGATTACACCACACCATGGCACTGCCCTGGAGCTGTATAAGCTCCCGTCACGCCTCCTCCACCTACTGCAGGTAAAGTTCGCCTGCGATGGAATGACGAAACGAGTGTTGAAACTGAATCGCAGGCAAAGCGCTTTGGCGTCGTAATGTGGAGGCAAGTCCAATGACAGCGTGAAACACACACACACACGCGCGCGCGCACGCACACGCCACAGACAGATCTCCTCCTCGTCACCTGGTGAGGCGGTGTGGGCTGAACGAGGCCGGGTTGTCCTGCTCGATGAAGGCCGGTAGCGTGGCCCCCATCACGGCCAGACGGAACGCCAGCAGCAGCACCAGCTGTGGGAGAGGGCGAGGGCTATGGTTGTTTAAAAATTGCACGGTGACTTTTATGTCGAGACATTTTTTTCTCCATATCCTGTATTAGCCACAATCATAGCCTTAATAAACCTAAACTAGTCGTTAGTTTACCAGGTAAAGTTCACGAAGCAATTTTTCTCTTTTTCAGAAGCGACCTGGCCACAAATGAAATCTCAACGAAGTGGCTTATAACGTGGAAAATTATAGCAGCCAAATACTCTACACACAGATTGATTCTAAATGTGGAGGGAAAAACAGGAGGACACGGAGAAAAATGTACGCGACCACGGGGAGAGAGACATGCAAACTCCAAATATCCAGGCGTCAGGGTCAAGATCGAACCCACGTCCCGTGTACCAGGTGAGGTAGTTCACATCTTTCCACTGCGGCACCACTTAATAAAGGGTAATAAAACCCTGCACAGACAAGAGTCTCTGTCACCGAGTCTTGTTCATCCGTCAGTCTCTCGGCCTTCTGGACCACCGCTTTTGTTTGAAGCGGCATCTGTTAACTCTGACAAACCGAGTCCCATTTGGTCTGGGAGTCCCATAAGCAAGAGCGTGGCCTCTGAAACCAACGTTGCTGGGCTGCCACCAACCCATTCTATTCAGAGTGCCGTCTAATCCACCACACCTCTCTTTTTCTCTTTTATGCAACGTTCCACAAAGCGTAAAGCCTGCACACCGCTGTGCGTTGCGAGGCATGTGCTCGCAATCTCCCCCCTGGCATTGGCCGTGTCGCAGGAACAAACAGCACGCGCCCCCAACGCCGCCACCAGCAACATCCAGCAGCGTTTCCTTTCAGCGCACAATCTCCAGACAAAACTTCAGTAGGGAAAAAAAGCCCTGCCAATAAAACGTTAGGATAGCATTTCCCACCCCCCCCACCCCTCTTTACTTTTTTGCGTCTTTCATCCAATGCGCTACCCCACGCCAGCTCCGGTACAGTGGCCACTTGCATCAAGCAAGCAAAACATCTTCTTCCCCTGCTCTTTCTTCTCAAATGATTTACTGGTACGGTGGGAGGTTTTTATCCCCTACTTTCTACCAACTTTAGAGAGTAAATATCACGTAAAGTGAGATAATTACCAAATTGTGTATTCTGTCATGTCAGCGCATCTGTGAAACACGTTCTGCAGCATTAGCCAAAGGATTGACACTGCAAGAACTCTCAGCGTCAAACACCTTTCGTGTCGCATTCACCTCTACGTCGCGTTCATTTCGAATATGCCTAACACAAAACCACTGGTGGTATGGCTGTCAAATCGAATGGCATTCGTTAGGTCTCGGTTTCGATGAAGAGCAGTTGAAAACATAACCGGGCGTTTTACCACGACACCTGGGGCAAAACACAAACCAAAGACTATGTCGTAGTGTTGGGAGCGCTTGTTGCAGATCACTCCATGGCCAACACGTGGAATTCATTAGCGATGTTTTTTTTAATCACAGTTTCCTGAGCACAGACCACCTGTTGTCCATTGCCCATTCCCTTCCTCTTCCCTCTCCTCGCCTCCCCCCCCCCCCACTAGTCTCGTCCCTCCCGCTGCCCTTCCGTGACCCCCCCCACCCCCCCACGTGCCCTCTGTCATGGTCACTTCATTCCTCGGCTCTTGCACCTATCCCTACCATCTAAATCGCTCGATTTCTGTTCACGATTTTTTTTAAATAATTTTATTTCAACAAAACAACTCGCAGGCCCATCACAACGCATCTCGTGGTTCATATTTCCAAGGCACACATTTAGTGCGGGACGGGACGGGGCAGGGGGGGGGGTCCAAGCGACGTTCCTGCATGAGCCAACGTGTGGTCAGGGTAACCTGTGAGTTCCGTGAGGTCTGCGGACGTCTTCTGTGGGGCGTTACAAGGAGGGGGGAGGAGGAGGAGGAGTTCCTCTGACATGAGAAGGGGGGCGGTGGAGTGGGGAGGGGGGGTAATTTGGGGAAAAGGGACGGGGGTGTAACCCAACCACCCCGACAATAAATAACTAACATGTGGCCTTTTAACATTTTGTTTTAGCCTTTCCTCCGTTTCTCCGGGGCCCGTCTCTATCTGTTCTAGAGGGGTGCCTTTGAGCGATTTGTTAAAACTGTGTGACGGAACGCCTTGAGCTGAGGCGCTCTATACATATGAAGTACCGGTGCCGTCTCGGGCTCGAAAATCTCGGCAGTGTCTTCCTCCTGCGGTACTTTGGCCCGAGCTGTTTTCCGCGTGTCCATGTTCGTATTACTTCTGACTCCAGTTGAAGTACCGGTGAGGACGCTTGACACCGAGGTTGAGGCACACGTATATTTATTTCACAATACGACAGTGGGCATATAACACTCGAGGGGGTATCGGCCCCCTCACCCGTATAACTCGGGATACACCCCTAGCTAACTCTGTCCTAGCCCCGAGTCCTCCACTAATGGGCTAGGGGAGGCTATCTGGCCCGACACTGGTAAGTCGGGCCCGGTACCCGGAGTTCCAGACCAGCTCTTACAAGAGCACCGGCTCTGGCTTTCGGGACCACGCCGCTGGCTCAGTCCTGTCCGGCCCTGAAAAGGACATCGAACTAGGGGAGTCCAGGGCTCTATCTAAGACGTCTTCAGTCTTCTCCCTTTAGCTTAAAACATAACTCCCGAGCCCTTTGAAACATCCTCTTTTATACCCAACCCCTCCCTGAGGGGTGGGGCCCCGGGGGATCATAACGTTCGAACCAGCCCCCCCCAGGGTGTCTGGCTCGGACGTCGTAGAGGGCACCTCCTCGTGCACTTACGTAGCCCCGCCCACTGTGTTTGTTTTCCATAGGCTGCCATGCATAACGGGCCCTCTCTTTAACACCCCTACACATATACCATTTAAATCCAAAGCGACAGAGTTAAACCGTTTCTTCAACTGAGTGTGTGCTCCCCCGCTATATACAGAAAAGACGGACACAGCTAAATACATTTACGCTTTCAACCATAATTGGAAAGTCTTACACTGCACTGTCATGGTGGACCGTGGGGTTAGGCTCGAGGATTTTGGCACGGACGTTTGCAGTAATCACAAACAACGTGAGTTTGAATAAAGTCCGTAAAAACTTGGGAACGTGGATCGACTACGGGGATAATGATGATGATGATGCGGAAGATGATGAGGATGGCATTGACACACAGTGGCTTAGACTCAGCTACTGCCCTCATGCACCCGGGCTATGAAGACTGCTGCCAGGGGAATGCTGCACTCACCCAGAGTACGGTGACCGCTGCACGCTTCAGAAGCGGCTTGTAGCCGTGCAGCAGGTCCCAGCTCCGCCCCGCACGCCACGCCGTCTCCTTCTCTCTGTGAGCATCAGCAAGGAGGGTTGAAGACAGAGGAAAGAGAGGAACAAGGTTTTGCTATTTGGCGTGGGCAAATAGTGGGGGCAACAGTGGCGTGAACCTCTCCACGTGACACCGTGCCGTGCTGCCCTCCGCCATCTCTCAGCTCCGATGGTCGTGTCTAAGTTGAACTTCTTCCGCGACAGATGCAGCCAAACCGTGCTAATCGGAGGTGCGGGGTAAGGCCAACAAACTTAACTCAAATCGAGATTTTAAAATTGCACAGCTCCCAATGGCTTCCTAATATCGGAAGGAAGAGCATTTCGGACGGCCGCAGGAGCACATCATAGAGCGTGCGATGCGCTCACCGTTTTTGTTCAGTGGTTGGACAAAATCTGCTGCGAGGATGATGGTTTATGCTCTTTGACGAGATCCGCAATGTTTTGTGGTTCATTTGTGCACAGCGGGCTGTTTCCATAACGACCAGAGAGATCCAACTGGCGGAGCGGTGGGGCTGGAGGGTGTGAGGTAGGGAGGCTTGGATGATGATGATGATGATGATGGTGTTGCTGCTGCTGCTGCTGCTGATGTTGTTGCCGATGATGATAATGTCGGCAGGCATCCCGGTGGTGATATCTTCACCCTCACCGACACGGTGGCAGGCGGCTCAGCACGAGAGCGTCGTAAGCGAGCGCGGCGCCCAGCGCCGTCACCCCCGTCTCCTTCACGAGCATCGCCGCTCCTCCCAGCAGCAGCGACAGCACCAGCAGCCCGGGGGACTCGGTGATGGGGCAGCAGCGGCAGCAGCCTGCACTGGCGACCGAGCCCTGCGCGCCCACACTCCTGCGAGAGTTCCCGCACCTCCGATTAGCACGGTTGGCCATGTACGGTGCGAAAGAAGTTCAACGTACACACATACTGCCCATGGACTAACACTAACCATATACTCAAATCCCTGTAGACTCAACCCTGCTCATAGACTCAACACTGCACCTCTGATGAGCACGGTTGGCTACGTATGGTGCAAATGAAGTTCAACGTACACACACTCAACACTGCCCATAGATTAAAACTGCCCATAGACTAACACTAACCATACACTCAACACTGCCCATAGACACAACACTGCACCTCCAATTAACACGGTTGGCTAGGTACGGTGCGAAAGACGTTCAACGTACATACATGACACAAACACACACAAGGACGCAGGAGCAGTCAGATGCCTCGCCCTGGCCACACCTTGCCAAGGGGTCAGGGCTTGGGATTGATGGCTGGGATCGGCCATTGCTACAACAACAACAACACACATCCTCATTGCGTATCTGTAATCACACTCAGCGCGTCTGGTGCACTGAGCCTCTGGTTGAAATTCCACATCGCTATGGCTGAGTCTTGGGAAATGTGATTCATAGCAATGTCACTGTGAACCCAAGCAGAGGGCCAGAGGTGCAGCGTGTGTGAAGGACAACACATTAAGGTCACGTATGTGGGGAATGCTACGTAGGCTGGGAAGGGGCAGCAGCACAGAGGTCAGAAAGGTCAACTCTGTTTGAAGAGCTGAACTCTATTTGACGTAGCCACCGTCCAGCCTCGGTCAGACAGGTCGACATAAAACGCGAGTGTATTTTTGCTCGGGTCTTGTTGGTGAGGACGTGAAGAAGGCCCGGGCAGTGAGCCACGGAGAGAGCGGAGGGACCCGCGGATACCGCTCACCGGACATACGCGCAGAAGGAGGCGAGGAAGAGGAGGCCGGCGAGAACATCCGCGCGTCCGACGATCCCCGACACCTGCCGGCGGAAGGGGGCCCAATGCTTTTAGTCACGGCTCTTAGGTTTTGTCGGTAAAGTCACGTAGGTAAAAAATAAAAAGAAATAAAATAATAAATCACGACGTTTCGGAGGCAACACAAGTCTCCGTCATCTCTTGTTCTCTTGCACAGGTCGCGACGTTCGCAAATTTCTTTTGTAGCCCCGCCCACCATCCCCACGTCCCATTCCCTGGTTACCACATTCAATTCAGATAAGTCCCTCCCCCCTTAACTTGTATTTAAGGGCTGGTCTCTTGGAATTTTGCCTCACTTGATGCAGTAAATTTAGCTGTGACGGTCCCACCTGATGACGGAGACTTGTGTTGCCTCCGAAACGTCGTGATTTATTATTTGATTTCTATTATTACTTCTATTAATTTTCTTTTTTCTTTTTTATCTACGTGACTTTACCGAAAAAACCCAAGAGTATGAATCCTTGCAGTCACGAAAGCTTCAAATCTAGTTTTTAGTCACGGCTCGCCTCTGACTTGGCCTCTACCACGACTCAACTCGGGTGGGCGGGTGGGTTGGTGTACGGGTGAGTGGGTTGGTGGGTGGGTGGGTGAGTTGGTGGGTGGGTGGGTGAGTTGGTGGGTGGGTGGGTGAGTTGGTGGGTGAGTTGGTGGGTGGGTGAGTTGGTTGGTGGGTGAGTTGGTTGGTGGGTGGGTGAGTTGGTGGGTGGGTGGGTGAGTTGGTGGGTGGGTGGGTGAGTGGATTGGTGGGTGGGTGAGTTGGTTGGTTGGTGGGTGGGTGGGTGAGTTGGTGGGTGGGTGGGTGAGTTGGTGGGTGGGTGGGCGAGTGGGTTAGTGGGTGCGTGGGTGAGTTGGTTGGTGGGTGGGTGGGTGAGTTGGTTGGTGGGTGGATGAGTTGGTTGGTGGGTGGGTGGGTGAGTTGGTGGGTGGGTTGGTGGGTGGGTGAGTTGGTGGGTGGGTGGGTGGCCTAGCGGGTTGCGCGTCCCACCGCCTCCGTGTGCACCGGGTGCACCGCGAAGAGGGCAGCGGCGAGCCAGGGCGCGCCGGGCAGGCGCCGCTCAGTGACGGCGGCGGGGGGCCACAGCATGGAGCGGCCGAGGCCGGCGAAGGCCACGCACGTGGCGGCGTGCAAGCACACGTTGAGCACGTGGAAGCCCCAGGGGTGCATCCCGCCCAGCCACACGTTCAGCCTGCGCGAGCAGACACACGCGGGACACGTCATTGTTGGTAATAAAGGTTGTTTTTTTTATTTTCAGGGGGGTTAGAGCGTGTAAATTAGTAAGTGACAAACCTTACTAATTGGCTGTGTCAGGTGGTGGTAGGTTAATAACACATTTATATTTACGCGATCTAAACCAAGAGAAAAATAATGTATTTTGAATAATATTGGTCACGAAAGCCTACGTGTTAAACACGTAGTTATTATGTATTATCACGACTACACTTGCTTTACAACCAGGTAAGCCTTACTGAGTCTAAAGATGATCTCTTTGCAGGAGGGTCCTGCCAAGTTTTCGGAGTCGGGGTGATGATTCATAATCAACGTTTTTGGGTTAGATCGCGTTATTTATAAATGTGTCGTAACCCTCCACCACCCGACATGGCCAATCAGCCGTGTCGGGTGGTGGAGGGTTACGACACATTTATAATAAATAACGCGATCTAACCCAAAAACTTGATTATGAATAATATTGGTCGCGAAAGCCTACGTGTTAAACGGGGTGATGATGATGTTGCTGCTACTGTGTTACTGTAATCCCAATTGAGCAGCCTGCAAGTTAGGTAGTTAGCGTTGGGATTGCTTCGCTGTGTGAGAAAGTCAGAGGAGCCGGTAGGAAACTCGTGCAGGACAGGGGACATGGGACCGGGGAAGAAAATACAAACTCCACACAGAAAGGCGTCGGGAATCGAACCCAGGAAACGTATTGCCACGAGGCACAATAGTTGCCATTGTGCCTCTGCCGCGGTGGTGACAATTCCAGAGATACCGAATTGTAAGACGCTCCAGAAACTGAGATGCACAACCAAAATTGTGCCCAGTGTCAATAACGTGATACTAATCACACACACACACACACCTACCGGATTATAAGACGCACCCCTAACTGTGGCGTTAGATACACACGGGGAAAACATCGCGTGTGTCTAATAAGCCGGATAATACCGCATATCCTGGCAAATGCCAGCTTCCTACACAAAGAACGGGCAGAATCCGATACAAAACAAATATGTGGATTAGGGTTTGCCTCGCAGGTCGGGGTTAGAAAATAATTGAATTGAGAAGGAATGTCAATGTCGAAGGTCATTTTCAGAACTATGTCGTTAAAAAAACTAATCTGCTTCTACAGTAGTCTCTTTGAGAGGGTAGTCAAAGAATATAAAAAACAAATGGATCAGTAAGACCAGTCGTCAAATGTAGAGGTTTTTGTTATATTGTTAAACACTGATCTGTGAATCGGTAATCATTTGCAGAATCGGTTACAGGTTCCCACAAGCCTCGCATAGACCCCCCCCCCCCCCACCACCACTTATGGTACGGACACAGCATGCTGGATGTAAACAAAAACCTAGAAGATACTGATTTATTTTCCTTTCAAGTTCAAGTTCATGTATTAGGTATAGCCCTGTGAGCCATTCGGCTCTTGAATCGGGTGCAACCGCAACAAACAAAAAACATGAACAAGAAACATCTTAAAGTGACTATGTGACTATGTAAAAACTGAAAGGGGTTGCAGAAAACTTCAGAAAAAGCACGCCATTGGAGATGTCGTGAGGGCGCGTTGACAGAGACCACGACTCAGCCAAAGCACCCCGACTTGGCCTTCTATCCAGTCCGACAAGCGGTTCGGACACTCGGACACGATTTAGCCAAATACTTGACGGTACTTGAAATTAAATCAGATTTTTAAAGAGACCCGTTCAAACATGTACAATCAAGGGCCGTAGTAGCCCTTGAATGTGGATGGGTTACTGGCAGGAGTTTTTTGGGGGCTTTTATCACTGAGGCCAAGGAACAGGATGTGTAAATGTTTGGCTCTGCCAGGGCCTGCCCCGACAGCCAGGAGGCCAGTCACCCTGACAGGACGAGCCGGGGGATGGAAGTTGGCACCTCTTCATCATCACGCCGCCACCACAGCACAATTCACCCAGGGCAACAAAGTAAGAGAACAGGCTTTCGTGAATGGGTTGCTTTGTAAATGTTTTATTTGTGTTGTTTATTGATAGAACAAAAACACACACGCGCACATGTTGTCGATCGAACGGAGAAGCAGCTGTCACATTTGCCCCCGTGGTTATATTCATTCCCTGTACGGCGAGGTGCGTACAATAAAGACAAAGATACCCCGTACAGCCTTTAACAGACTGTTAGGGCAAGTGCTGTTAGCGAGCACCTACGAAGGCCGGCATGGCACACGATGCGGGTGTGTGGGGCCAGTACCACGCTCGGCCGCTTTTGTCTCCCCAGTGCTGATGTTTACATAACGCACTAGAAACTCATTTGAGGCTCAGTTGACCTAGGGGGAGACCGAGGATCGGTTCAAATATTCGTCACTGATGTTGGCCGTGAGCCGGGATTTTAAGTCGGGTCGCCGGCTGTGTAGCGCAGCGCGCTATCCGCTGCGCCACCACTCCCAACATCCCAGGCATTCTCGCAACTGCCCTTTAATTAAAATCCACGTTGTTTTGCGGTGTGGACTCGGGCCCGAAATATTTAGAAAATGCTGGAGGACCACCTATAAACTCAAGACGTTTGATATCACGTGGATTTCTTCCTATTCCAATAATTTCAAGACGTATATTTCATTTAAATAAAAAAACGTCGCTTTCTTTCTTCAAAACGGATCGAGAGCTCACTCATTTCTACAAACAATACACATCGGGCGAGGTTGACATCTCGTCAATTTGGCGCCGACCACCAACAAATAAAACAACCTCACATCGACCTCCGTCGTTTACCCCATTGCTTGGGATCATAGACAATTGGCACGTTTTCGATACAGTACAACATTTATTTTGGGGGGGAGGGTGGGTGTAAAGCGATACATCAGTGTACCGTATCCTGCCACACGTTAATCGAGCTCACAAACACGCGTAGCCGCCGTGTTGAGCGATTGCCATGAGGATTTTGAGTTGCTCGTGAGAAAGTCAGGGATATTTTTCTCCACCTCTTGTATCACCGTCAACCTCCGAGCCATCGCCGCTGCGGTGGCTCCCAGGGAGTATGTACGGTACGTTGAACTTCTTTCGCACCGTACGTAGCCAACCGTGCGGGGGAAGGCCGAAAAACTAAAACAAAACGCAGTTCTAAAAAAATGAGATCATCAATCTGGATTTAAAAGTGCATTGCTCCCAGCGACTTCCTCACATAGGAAGGAAGAGCGTTCCAGACGGCCGCGCGATGCGGTGACCGCCGTTTTTGTTCGATGACTGCGCCACAAGCCGATGCCTGCTGCAAGGATGACCGCCGGGAGTTCGCGTGATGGTGACGGCGTCTCATCATCCGCGGGAAGTGGAACGGACTTGGCTTGAGGGGTTGTGGGTCATCGCTTTCCGCCCCTAAAGGGCCGGGTTTCCCCCCCCCCACCCTACAGTCGCCAACAACAGCTAAAATCTGCTTCCCTTTTGGGTGCAGCTTCCTCCTCTCTCTGCCGTGCCACTGCCCTTGATCACGGCACATCGCAGAGCACTGCACTACTCTGTATAGAGAAGAAGCGCTGCTCTTTGGGGGAGGAGCAGGCGCACCTCAAAGGGACGCACCGAAGATCAAAGGCAATTCTGCGAAGCGAACGGCCAACTCAATCCACGCGTCACCACAGACCCTGTATGAAATGTGTATGCACTGTAAATGTTGTAGTTGGGATTGCGTAAGAGCACGGCTGCGCCATCTCCCGTGAGTCGATTCATAATTAATAACGGATCATATACTGTAACATAAGGTTCAATGGTTGATTCTAGAAGGTTTTTTTTTATTTGGGAGTGAAATGTTCCCAAGTAGAATCGTGGGTTCCCGAAGGGTAAAACTGGCTGGACAGTGATCCATTTGGCTCTCAGTTAGGTAAATGGGGTCCAGCCTGGGCTGATGAATTCTCACAGCGGGATAAGAGTAATTTCTTCCAGACACAGGAACTTCAGTGACGACAAAAAAAAAACGGCCCATGTTTTTAATTTACTCGTTTAAAAACGTTAAATGTGGTTGGCTCCGAGGTTGTGCGCACACAAAATGGAGGGTTTTGTTGAATGGCATATCGAGGCAGGATTCGTGAAGGTAAATTTGGGATTTTTTTCGCATTTAACGTTGACTCCATTATCCACTCATTTCCTTTGGACAGCTTTGTTTAATTGCAATCGCTTCCAGTTCACCACCAGTAAAGAATGGCCCATTCTTGTGAACGAGATTATTCCACACAGATAATTCGAGAGGGGAAATGCTCACATCATTTAACGTCTACCGGTCTAAATGATAATGATTTACCATATTATCTTGTACAGTACAATGTATCATAAGATGGACGTTTCTCGCTGTATTCTCAAAGCAAACACCTGGGGGTTCACATAGCCAAGTCTGTGGGCGTCAGCGACCAGATTTGAATAACTTTATTGACACAACGTTCGGGGTGCGTCTTATATTCCGGATAATTCGTTACATTACGAATAGGGTACAAAGGCTCGCTTTGAACGTATTTAACCAATAGGGGGAAAAAATTGTTTACGACAGGATGCAGTGACTCTTGTGCTATCTGCTATATCCTGTCACTGCGATGTTCATGGATCAATGCTTCCCGTATATATGGAGGAGTAAAAACAATGACAATACAGTGTTTGTGAAGTCTTCCTCATTATATATGTATGCGCGTTTTTCCTATTCTACCAGATGAGTAGCGGCTTCAAAAATCGTTTCAATCTCAATTGTTCCATGCATTACACGACCGAGAATCCACATCGCAGCCGTGGATTACACGCTGCGATTAATTAACAAGAACACGTGGGACCTGGCAGAACGGAGTGATGGCATCAGCGGCATTGGTTCGGATGACCTATTGACCTTGACCTTCCCGGTATCCTCTCGTCCCTCCCCCCCCCCAATAAATAACAGTCGTGGCGTGTGTGATGAACATTACTGTCAGCAATTCCCCCGGGGATGTGAACTCTGCGTAAATAGATAATACATTGGTGTGGCTCTCATCCCGTGCACGCGCGCCACACGCCGCGATGTGCTGCGTGTGCAGTGCTCCAGACTGCACCACCACCACCAATCGAGCAGTGTCAGCGTGCGGGCCTCGCTAAACTCATTTCCACGAAGTGACCAATTAGGCTGGAGAGGCGAGCAGTAAAGCACTCTCATCGCATTGCAGTGCATAACGCGCGTGGTCGCTGATCGTCGATCAATTATTTGTGTACCTTTTATAATTATTATGATGCTCGGTGGCCTAGGAGAGCCTCGCTGAGTCTCATGACTCCCGATGATGGAGATCGAATGCAAACTTTCTCTCCCCGCCTGTTGAAACTAATGAGCGGGATGATCGACGCACTTGCAGGTGTGATACAACGGAGGAGTGATCACAGGCGAGGGAAGATGACGGCCAGTGAGGGGAGTGAATTAGCGAGTTTGCGGTGTTGAACAGGAAGGGTAAGGAATTGGTATCGTGGCTGTTAGTGTGAGAGCATTGCGCGCTGTGCTCGGAACCTGTTGACCCCAGTTTGATCTCTGGCCACGGCTCACATTATTGGCAAGTGATTTGCGAACTGCTCTTGCCTCTGTCCCCTCTATCCCTCTACACTGCACCGCACTGGCCGGCGTGGTAGCGTATGCGAGTGTGCTCAGGCTGGGTTAGCGGAGGTCTGTGTTTGCGGACAGAGTGAGGACCGACTAAAATGATGGGTGAGGGTGACAGGGGTGAGGGGTGACGATGAGTGTGTCGGCGGGTGTGTGTATCCGACGGTCTAAAAACGGGGTTGGAGAACCAACGGCTCGCGGGCCGAAAGAAACCCACGACTTCATTTAACACGGCCCTGCGGCCACACGGGCCCTATCGCTTCGAGTTGGCCCATGAATGATATTAATCCGTCATTGCTAGCTTTCTTAGCCGCACTTAATCGGGTACTAGAGGTGAATGTGCTGGCAACAACATGGCAACAACATTGTGCTTATGTTGGCATGCTCAGTCACTCCAGAAGGGACTGAGGTGTCTCTGTGTGTGTGTAATGACCTCTGGTGGGACCACCCAATGGGGTGGTCCCACCAGAGGTATTTAAGTCATTCGGAAAGGAAAACAGGGTTACCCACCGCTGGTTTAAAATATGGGTGGTACGAGGTGGCGGGGACACGGATTGACCTGCACGACAGCCGTCATCTGGTCGAGGAGACTGGGTCGTCCTCTCCGCACACGTCTCACCCATTCGCCAATCACCACACTAATTGGCAACGGAAATTAGCACGGCACACAGATGGAAGGATCCGGAAAGAGAGGAAGACCTAACAGAGAACGTGCTTAACGACGACACAAGAGGTTGGTGCCAGAACGATGTCCACTACTTGAGCATATTTCTGCAAGACGGAGGAGGAAAATGGAAACAAATTACGAAACGTCCAGTGGACACCTACGGGGCTATCATGGATCGTGCCGATGATGACAGCTGGAAATCCCGCAGACGGGGGACCGTCTGACCACAACCGAGCAGGGATGACGAGTTGAGCACACTGCACGAGAGACAGCGAGAGAGAGAGAGAGGCTTGCCTGAATGTGAGCACGCAGAGCGGTCTGTACGACTTGTGGCTGCTGGGCGACCTCATGCTCTTGCCCCAGAAGTCGTGGCCCATGAGACGAGACAGCGGGGCCCCGGGCTGCGCGTCCGGGTTGCCCACGATGGCCAGGAGGTCGTCGTGCACGAAGTCGCCCTGCAGGCTGTTGGCGTACGCGAGCGCGGCGAGCAGAGCCACCAGCGCGTACCCCTGCCACGTCGGGGTCGCCACGCGGGGCCACGGCCCCACGCGGCCCGGTGGCCACCGAAAACTCCACGTCCAGCACCTCCATCTCCACCACCGCCTGCGCCTCCACCAGCCCGAGCCGCGCATTCCTCTGCGCTCCGCCACCACAAGCACCTCTGGCGGCGGTGGCGACTCAGCCGTCAGCTGGAGACGCAGCGCTTCCTCCTCCTCCCGCTCCTCCTGCCGCTCCTCCTGCTCTGCCTCGCTCCCCGCCTCCCTGCTCCTCTCCCCCTCTGCCCCCGAGCCGCCGGGGATGATGATGGACGTCTCTACGATTCAGCGGCGAGCGCGTGCGGCAGACATCTGGCTCGCGCCGCCGCAGACAGCACTGCGCACGGGCACGCGGACGATGCTTCGCGAGCGATCTCATCCCGGGCACGGGTAACGGACGCCGTCTGCGCAGCGTGCAGCAGCAGCAGCAGCCAGCGAGCAGCAGCTACACGTCAGCCCCGACACGGCACTACAAGCAGCAGCAGCAGCTACACAAACCCATCAGCCCAGACACTGCACTCCAGGCAGCAGCAGCAGCTACACAAGCCCATCAGCTCTGACACGGCACTACAGGCAGCAGCAGCAGCAACACAAACCCATCAGCACCGGCACGGCACTACAGGCAGCAGCAGCAGCTACACAAACCCATCAGCACCGACACGGCACTACAGGCAGCAGCAGCTACACAAGCCCATCAGCACCGACACGGCACTACATACAGCAGCAGCTACACAAACCCATCAGCACCGACACGGCACTACATACAGCAGCAGCTACACAAACCCATCAGCACCGACACGGCACTACATACAGCAGCAGCTACACAAACCCATCAGCACCGACACGGCACTACATACAGCAGCAGCTACACAAACCCATCAGCACCGACACGGCACTACAGGCAGCAGCAGCTACACAAACCCATCAGCACCGACACGGCACTACATACAGCAGCAGCTACACAAGCCCATCAGCACCGACACGGCACTACAGGCAGCAGCAGCTACACAAGCCCATCAGCTCTGACACTGCACTACAGGCAGCAGCAGCTACACAAACCCATCAGCATCGACACGGCACTACAGGCAGCAGCAGCAGCTACACAACCCATCAGCACCGACACGGCACTACAGGCAGCAGCATGTCAATCCATCATTGCGGGTTGCGGGGGGGTGTATGATGGGTTCCGTGTGGACGAGTGGCTCCTCTCATCCTGACCCTCGCCGCCCTCCTCGCTTCTCTGCTCGCCCAAGACAACGGCGAGAGGGAGGATCGCATCGAAAACGTGCGGCGCGATGCGAAGGAGAGACAGAATTTTAAAAAAACCACCACGAAATGTGATAAATAAATAAATAGTAGAGGAGATCTCGAGCCGGCTGCGAGCAATGATTGCGGAGCGGAGACAATGGAGACAATGGGGCCCGGGCTCACAGGAGCGCGGAGGATAACGGGACGGGACAGCCGGGTTCAAGGAGCATCATCGGCATCATCAGCGCACGTGCGTGGCATGCACACAGTCACACACACACAGTCACACACACACACAGTCACACAGACACACACACACAGTCACACACACACAGTCACACACACACAGTCACACACACACAGTCTCACACACATAGTCACACACACACAGTCACACAGTCACACACACACAGTCACACACACACAGTCACACACACAGTCACACACACAGTCACACACACACACAGTCACACACATACAATCACACACAGTCACACACACACAGTCACACACACAGTCACACACACAGTCACACAATCACACAATCACACACACAGTCACACAAACACAATCACACAGACAGTCACACACATACAATCACACACAGTCACACACACACAGTCACACACACACAGTCACACACAGTCACACACACACAGTCACACACACACATTCACACAATCACACACACAGTCACACACACACAATCACACAGACAGTCACACACATACAATCACACACAGTCACACACACACAGTCACACACACACAGTCACACACAGTCACACACACACAGTCACACACACACATTCACACACACACACAGTCACACACAGTCACACACAGTCACACACACACAGTCACACACAGTCACACACAGTCACACACACAGTCACACACAGTCACAACAACAACAACAACCGCCATTCGCCACTAAGTGGCGGTGACGTCACCACGATGCTTGTGCCAGGCCAAGTGCACCTTGAGGCCACGTGAAGTGTCGAAAGCCCGCTGGCAGGAGGTCACGGGGCAGACCCAGGTGCCACTGGTCGACTGACCGAGATGACCGAGATGACTGGCTGATGCACCACCTGTGCCCCCTACTGTGCCAACTTGCTGTGCTTTAGCCACCCGGCGCTCCGCTCGTTGTTGTGAGCGTCGCTCCTCCGCCCTCCGTTGTTGTTGGAGGGCGACTGCCTCCAACTGCCCAGTAGCGTCCTTCACGAGCCTCCTCCACTGAGGCCGATCTTGACACCGCTGGTACCAGTCATCGGCAAGTCCACTCAGCTCCACGTCCTCCTGTACCACATCACTCCATCTCTTCTCCAGCCCGTGCCGCGCCCGTCTAGCCCCCTCGATCCGGCCGAACAAAAGCTGTTTAGGCATGCGGTGGCTGGGCATGCGGGCTACATGACCCAGCCAACGCAGCCTTGCCTGCCGGAGGAGCTCACTGATGGGACTTTGCCCAGATCTTTCAAGGATTTGTGAGCTCCTCACACAATCCAGCCTGGTTAAACCCAGGATGGATCGTAGGCAGGCCAGCCTAAATGTTTCCAACCGGCGAAGATGCTCCACCAGGGGGGTCCACGTCTCGCAAGCGTAGAGAAGGGAGGGAATGACCGTGGCCGAGAAGACCTGAAGCTTCGTGCGGAGCGACAGACCAGGTAGCTTCCACACAGCGTTACGCAACCGATGAAAAGATATTGCCGCTCGACTGATTCGGAGTGAGACCTCTGCTGATAGACTGGAGCCGGTCATAAGCATACTGCCCAGGTATGGGAAACTCTCCACTCTCTCCACAACTGCCCCATCACCAATTGGGAGTTGTGGGGGTGGAGTGTCCGATGGTACAAAATACCCAGGCAGGTGCTTGGTTTTGGTGGGGCTGATGGTAAGGCCCCACCTCTTAGTGGCACGCTCCAGTCTCAGCAAGCAGCGCCTCCAACTCCTCTTCTGAATGAGCAGCTATTACCAAATCATCGGCATACATAACGTGGTTGACCAATAGGGAGCCATCCCTTGATCGCACCCGGGCGTCGATCAGCCTCCCATTATATCTGTACCAAACGGAAATTCCCCCGGTACAGCTATTGAAGGCTTCACGAACTACGCGGTCAAAATAGATGTTAAATAATGTGGGAGCCAGAGGACATCCCTGTCGCACCCCAAGGTGTACAGGGAAAGGCTCCGACTCCCGGCCACGTAGTTTTACCCGGGCCCGCTCACCATCATGAAGGTCCTTAATGATCGTGAGCAGAGGGTCAGGGACTCCGAAAGCACGAAGAACAACCCAGAGTCCAGTCCTACTGATGGTATCATAGGCCTTGACCAGGTCAATAAAGCAGAGATGTAGGTCTTTTTGGAATTCCCTACACCTCTGCTGTAGCAGACGGACAGAAAATATGGCATCTGTGCAGGACCGCCCTTTCCTGAAACCGCATTGGGGCTCCGCAAGCCCCTCCTCAGCGTGCCTAGCAAGGCGATGTTGAATAATCCTTGCCAGGACCTTACCCGGCACACTGAGGAGTGAGATGCCCCTGTAGTTGTTACAGTCTGTGCGGTCCCCCTTCTTAAAGAGGGGGACCACCAGGGCATCCTTCCAGTCCTGCGGAACCCGTCCAGTGGTCCAGACTGTTGTTATGATGTCATATAGGGCAGTCTGTGCACAAACGCCACCCTCCCTCAGCATTTCGCTTGGGAGATCATCTCTGCCCGGTGCCTTCCCTGGTCTCAGACTCCGGATCGCCCTCAGTACTTCCTCAACAGCTGGAACCTCAGCCAGCCACTCACAGGGGGTGACCTCTTCCAATATTTGAGGCACCGCAGCCTCAGCAGGGTTATCCCCACTTTGTGCCATGATGTTTTCCTGGCTGAGAGAAATTTCCCTCCCCCAGGACCTCACAGAAATGCTCAGCAAATCTGCAAACCTGTTCCTGGGGGTCGGAGATTGGATCACCGTTTTTTCCTCTAATGATGGTAATAGGTGTGGCGCTGCAGGTTACTTTTTTGATGGAGTTAAATAGTGATTTGTGATCACGGGCCACTGAGGCAGACTCCATCTCCTCAGCAACCCGCGACCACCACCCATCCTTACAACGCCTTACGGCTCTCCGAACTTCCGAGCGAAGGCTGCGGTAAACCTCCTCATTCTCTGACGTGGGATGCTGTAGGCGATGAGAGTGGGCCTGTCGCTTTTTCTCAATTAACCTGAACACCTCCTCTGTCAGCCAGGGTTTCTGGGGAGGTCTGGACCGCGTACCCAAAGCAGCCATTGCAGCTGCATGAGTCACAGTCTTAAACCTCGCCCATTTACCCTCGACATCAGGTGGAGTGGGGGACGATGCCAACCCCAGCTGCAAGCGATGATGAAATTCTCGCTTGCAACTTTCATCAGTCACACACACACAGTCACACACACACATTCACACAGACACACACACACAGTCACACACACACAGTCAAACACACAGACACACACACACACCGAGTATCGCAACGACAGCCTCTCCAGCAGCTTGCGAGGTCACCTCGTCGCGTCATCGCCATCCGATTGTCACGGTCGGCGACGCACGGTGCGACACAAGTTCAACGTTGTGCGTTCTTGCATCGCCACGCGGCGCGTGTCACAAACCAAAACCTCCCGTCGCAGTCGCCAATAGCTGTCACGCGTGTGTGCGTGTGCGTGTTATCATTCCATTGTTGGGAAACATCGTCCAAAATGCCCCCGTCTGCCTTGGTTTGATTCTCAGCCACTGCGAGTGATATCCGAACCGCTCATCCGTCCCACCCACGCTTCCCATGACCTCAGCAACTCACACCGACCACAGAGGTGAAGTATATTCAACCCCCATGACCGGCACGGCGCGGGGAGGCTTTCATCTATCAGTGGGTTGACTTAAGGGTTAGAAACCATGATTACTATTGTTGTTTTTGTTATTCGAGTATTAAGGGCTCATTGTCAGCGGGAGTCATTTCCACCTAGCGCGGCACGCTATTGAGACACTTAGGCGAACGAGTAGATGAGGTACAGACCCACTTTACAAGGGCTGTTGGCCAGTGCATTGCCAATTAACGCCTCTCAAAACTGATATTGAATGGCTTTCCTGACTCTGGATTATTACTGCCACCCAGCGGCTTCATTTGGGAATCTCACAATTAATTTTAATCTTTGCTATTTCGGCGTCATATCACGAGACAATGCATTTGCTAAGCTCGACGGAGCAAGTGGCTTGTATATAATTAACACAGGACAGGCCCTGATCCTGCAGTTGATTAACATCTATGTATTATAGCCCAAATCCAAGAGGCGTAAGTTGGTAACAAAAAAGAATGCCCACAGCTTTTTGTTATTTTGATTATCAAACTGAATGGTTCACATATCACTCGCCACTGATTATATCCGTGGCCGGCAATTGCACGTGTGAGGACGGGTTCACAGCGCAGTGTGCTAACCGCTGCGCCACTGCTCCCTCGGTGGTGGTTTCACTTCCACACTGCCGGTGGTGGCAATGAGCACAGGCACAGTGCGGTTACAGAAATATATACTGTGTATATACATATGTTCTTTATTTAGCTTCACTTCCATACAGTACGGTATACTGAATCAATGCAATTGAATGATGTCCATTGATTAGCTCCTTCCATTCAATACCGAGTGCAGTATTCTCGTCGGATGGGTGACATCGATTCTTACAAAAAAAATCAACAGTCAATAACAGTGGCCTTCAAAGGAAATACGAACCGTATATTCCAGTCAACGTTTCGGCCAATGCACCTCTTGAATTCCCACCCAGCAATGCCCAGTAACTGCTGCCACTGCCGGCGTTCGTGGCCTGTGATGTTCCTTGTAACAGAGCTGCTCAGCTCAATGGGGGGCTTCACCAGCTGAGACAAGTCTTAGTCGCGCAGAAGAAGCTATAAAGGGAATTCCCAGAATTGCCACCTATTAAATATTCGTTTTCCTTTGGGGGCAGTGTCACCGACGAATGTGTTACGACGATGATGATGATGATGTGCAGTGGCATTGTTATTTGTCATTGTGTATCCCAGAGGGTCAATTGCTGTAACAGTTGCCGCTAAAATAGTACGTCCCGTAGTTCAAGTTACAAGTTTGCTTTTTTTAACCAGAGGAGAATTCAAGAGGCTCTTAATTATATTATATTACATAGTCTCATGGGCACATATTGACGTGGGTCACCCAAATAACGTAAATGGAAATTAAGTAAATGTCCCCGTACCTCCGACTAGCACGGTTTGGCTACGTACGGTGCGAAAGAAGTCCAACACGCATACAAGTGGGAATCCGAGCAAAAACAATGAAATATCAATAAGAAACCAGAACCACCAACTTAGAAGCCAGAAAGTCAACATAGGCCCCTTTTAGCGGACGGGCCGCGAACGCCGAATCGGAATCGACGAAGAGGCGAGTAACCGATTCCGGTATTCGATTCGTCTCCAGGGTACAGCACCGGCTTGTCACGGGCGCGGAGACATCGCCGCCTCCACCTCCTCCTCCTCCACCTCCTCCTCTACCTCCTTCACCACCTCCTTCACCACCTCCTCCTTCACCTCCTCCACCCCACAGCGACACGGGGGAGCCGCGCAAGGGGACCGGGGCCCCCGCGGGGTCGATCTCTGGGGGTTGTTGGGGGTGTGAAGCTGGCGATGGCGCAGGGCTCCGAGGATGCGCTCAGGCCGCTGCTGAGAAACGTGAGAGCTGGGGGGGTGACACGGGGGGGGGGGTCACACAGGGGGGGGGTGACACGGGGGGGGTGACACGGGGGGGGGTGACACGGGGGGGGTGAGACGGGGGGGGGTGACACGGGGGGGGGTGACACGGGGGGGGGGTGACACGGGGTGGGGGGGTGACACAGGGGGGTGACACGGGGGGGGGGGGGTGACATGGGGGGGGGGGGTGAGACGGGGGGGGGTGACACGGGGGGGGGTGACACGGGGGGGGTGACACGGGGGGGGTGACACGGGGGGGTGACACGGGGGGGGGTGACACAGGGGGGGGGGTGACACGGGGGGGGTGACGGGGGGGGTGACACGGGGGGGGGGGTGACACGGGGGGGGGGTGACACAGGGGGGGGGGGGGGTGACACGGGGGGGGGTGAGACGGGGGGGGTGACACGGGGGGGGGGGGTGACACGGGGGGGGGTGACACGGGGGGGGGGGTGCTACGGGGGGGGTGACACGGGGGGTGACACGGGGGGGGGAGGTGACACAGGGGGGGGTGACACGGGGGGGGGTGACACGGGGGGGGGTGACACGGGGGGGGGTGACACGGGGGGGGGGGTGACACGGGGGGGGGGGTGGTGGTGGTGACACGGGGGGGTGGTGGTGGTGGTGACACGGGGGGGTGGTGGTGGTGACACGGGGGGGGGGGGTGGTGGTGGTGGTGACACGGGGGGGGGGGGTGGTGGTGGTGGTGACACGGGGGGGGGGGTGGTGGTGGTGACACGGGGGGGGGGTGGTGGTGGTGGTGACACGGGGGGGTGGTGGTGGTGGTGACACGGGGGGGTGGTGGTGGTGGTGACACGGGGGGGGGGTGGTGGTGACACGGGAGGGGGGGTGGTGGTGGTGGTGACACGGGGGGGGGGGTGGTGGTGGTGGTGACACGGGGGGGGGGGTGGTGGTGGTGACACGGGGGGGGGGTGGTGGTGGTGGTGACACGGGGGGGTGGTGGTGGTGGTGACACGGGGGGGTGGTGGTGGTGAAGGGGGGGGGGGGACCTTCGCCGCCGGCTCCACGTGGCGAGAGGGAGAGGAGAGAGACTTTGAGAAGTTTCTCGGGGGGCGGTGAAGAGCCGCATCCTCGCGATGTGTGTGGGGGGTGGGGGGGTAGCGGTCGTGTCGTGGTTAGCGCGCTACGATACAAACACCCGCCGACCCGAGTTCGATTCACGGCCAACGCCAGTGACGATTATCTTCACCGGGCATAGGCCTCCCCTAGTCGACTCGGCCTCAAATTACTCTCTTGGTGCGGTGGGTAAACATCGCCGCTGGGGAGACAAAGGCGGCCGCGCGTGGTGTTGGTCACCCACCCCCCTCGTGTGCCGTGGCGGCCTTCACAGGTGCTGCTACTCGCTAACAGCACTTGCCCCAGCGGTCTATTGCAGGCTATACGGGGATCTTTGTATTTTGTTCTATACACGTGATAAGCGTGTGTGGTGGTGGTGGTATGTGCTATGAAGACGGGTCATTGCCCGAAACGTCACCTGCTATTTACTTTGACCAGGAAGGCAACCGTGTTAGTGACGCACGTGCTGATATTTGTTTTTGTTACCTGTGCTTCTGCACCACTGCTAACGCAGAATCGCCAATAATGTGTGGCATGCGTAGATTGGTATTGCACTGTGTGTGGTTTGTGTGACTGGGAGGTGTTGGCGTCTATTATCGATGTGAGTTGCCATGTAGTGTGTATGTGATGTGTGTGTGTACATGGCATATACTCGTGGTATGTTTGGATGGCTGTGGCGTTACATGGTGTTTGTGACATTTGTGACTGTGTGGTGTGTGTGTGTGGCATGTGTGTGGTTTATGGTGTGTGTGTGTGTGTACTGTGTAAACAGTAGGGTGGTGTTTCGATTTAAAGCTTTCGTGACTGCAGGGATTCATATTCTTGGTTCTTTCGGTAAAGTCACGTAGAAGGGAAATAATAAAATAAATAAAATATAACAATAAAATTCTCACGACGTTTCGACTGCAACACAAGCAATCATCATTAGGTGTGAAAACCACAGCAAGGAAATTTTAAATCCACAGCAAGAAGATTTTATTGCTCTGGTTTTCACACCTGATGATGATTGCTTGTGTTGCAATCGAAACGTCGTGAGAATTTTATTGTTTTATATTTTATTATTTTATTGTGTTTTATTTTTATTATTTTATTATTTCCCTTCTACGTGACTTTACCGAAATAACCAAGAATATAAGAATAGGGTGGCGGCTCACGCCCTGCGCGAATTCGATTCCTCCTGCTCACAGCCAACACCAACAGCGGCGATTTATCTGAACCAGTCCTGGGCCCTCTCCTAGGTTGACGCACCCTCAAATGAATACCCGGTGCGATGTGTGAACATCGCCATTGAGGAGACAAAGGCGTGGTGCTGCCAACCCATCCCCTCGTGTGCAGTGCACGCCTTCATAGGTGCTGCTCGCTGAGAGCACTTGCCCCAACAATCTTGAACGGATAGATGGGGGATCTATGTGCTTGTGTGTGTGTGTGTGAACAGTACCGGTTCAGAGACCTGACCCTCATGGAGGTGCGCCTGGCAGGAGCCCGATATGCTGAGCTGCACCCAGGACGAGACGTATACGGTACCCGCTACCTCTACCACTCACACACTCACACACTCGTATACGGCACCCGCTACCTAACACTCGTCATGGGTGGAATAAACCCGATTTTTCCAGCGGCAGGCATCGGGTTTTTTCTTTAATACAATTTAACCCGATTTCGGGAAATTAAAACCTGGTTTAATGAATACGAAGCTCTGATAGGCTTAGGCTACTTCCTCGTCGGTGCTGCTATCGTACTCGGGGGAGCCGTCGGGCACGGGGTAGTCGTAGAATGCGGCGGGCAGGTTGGTCTTGATGAACACGAGCTTCTCCTCCACAATCGTGGGCGCCAGTGAAGTTCCTTAGCTTGGAATGGATGAAGCCCATCGTTGAGAAGTTGGCGAAGTGCGGTTCTGCAATTAGAAGCAATTAAACCGGATTTCTCCCAATCTCAGATGATCGGGTTTAATATAAAAAGACAATTAAACCCGATTGTAAAAAACCCGACTGTGCCACCCTTGCCACTCGTATACGGCACCCACGACCTCTACCACTCACTCGGCGGCGATGGAAACCACCGCTGCTGTTTGCATTGCCACGTTCGTCGCTCAGCCGGATTGTTCTCCACATTCAAGTGAAAGCTGTCAGATGGCTCGGCGATAGAGCCAACAGCACTCCGCAATTGGAAGTTGTTAGTTCAAATTGTGGCTTACTTAGCCCATCAGCCTTCTGGGGTCGATAACATAAGTACTACTGTGTGCGGGAAATCAAGATTGGTTGTCCCTTGGAAAACACTCACTGCCACCATAGTAACATGGAATTTTCACCACTGGCTCAGGACTGTAAAGGAGATGAGCACCTCTTAAATGTACATTGAGAAGGAAGTACCTTTGAAGTGAGAAGCGCAGCCTTAATGGCCAGGTGATATAGTGTGTTCTCGTGTCAAACTTCTGGGTGCGTCTTGCTCAAACATAACTAGTGGTGGAAATTCCAATTTCCCATGGTGGGGTAAGCAGTAGATAATCGTGTGTTTAACATTGTTCAGAATCCTCTACCTTACATGTTCTGTTCTTGCAAAGGTTGAGAATTGAACTTCTCAATCTGTAGGAGCTAGCCTGCATCGTAAGAGTAACCACCTCGTTCCCAGCCATTATTCTCATTGGACACCAAAGTGAAACTTGGGACTGCTATGTGCAGGATATGAAGAATTATCGCAGTTGTGAACAGCAATTGGCACAGTGCATTGCCATCGATATTGACTTTACCTTCACTGTTTAACTAAGTGCTTTAGAGAACCACGTGCTTTTTGAATGAAAGTCCACACGTGTTGTTTTCTCTTGTCTTAGTCTGTTTCAATGTCTCATTGCTTCTCACTATGTCATTGTCTTGCTGTATCCGCTTGTGGCAATTAGCCTATTTCTGCGCATGTGTGAGCATGTGTTGGTGCATCTGCGAGAAATCTCAGTCGGTCAACCAATGGCACTTGGGTCTGTCCTGTGACCTGTCGGCGAGCCCTCGACACTTCACGTGGCCTCAAAGTGCACCTGGCCTGGCACAGGCGGTGGTGTGGTAACGCCACCTCCACTTAGTGGCGAATGGCGGCTGTTGTTGCTGTTGTTGCTGTTGCTGTTGTTGCTGTTGTCTGTTATTTTTGTCCATGTGCTTCTTTGTGTGGATTTGTCACCACATTTCTCGTTATTTTGTGTTCCCTCGGTCCTTATTGATATCTCTCACCTCGTTGGCAACTCCTTACCATCGACTGACCCTCATCAAATCTCCCCACCCAACTCTTGAACTTTAAAAAAATGTAAAAAAAAATGTGCTGAATACCCCTCTAAGTAAAACTGACAAACTACGTGATGAACTTTGGCAATCTTTTTGGTTGTCACTACTCATTGGAGAAAAACAACTAGCACAAATATTTTACCTTGATTTAATTGTTTTGTTTTAAGCCCCCTTCTTCATACAGGTGGTCTCTGGTTTACAACGATCCACATTTACGACATTTATATAATGCTACCATGGATCGATTTAAGATGCAGAAACTTAACTTACGACGCAGACTTGGCGTGGAGATTTAGTTATTCTCAAGTGTTTTTGTGGATTTTTACCTATTAAACCCTGTTAAATATGTCTGATATGAGGGAAAAAACACATCGGCAAGTGATGTTTCGACTGTTTCTACTGTCTATGGAAAAATTGGGTCTGATTTATGACGGGGTTTCCAGGAACCCATTGTGTAGTAAAAGTAAAAGCGGGAGCCACCTTTAATCATTACCAGACAAAAAATGTCCAATTCTTGGTGGTTCAGAATGCGCTATTATGATGGATATTTATAGCCGGAAGGCATTGTTAGCTGTAATGCATTGGTGATGCCCCACCTTTCAGTGGCCACGAATGGGATTGACAAGAATTTGCTGCACCTCAGTGGAACAATCCCTGTGATTTATGAAGGTGGGTGTGTGGATGTGTACACGTGTGCTTGTGTGCTTATACGTTTTGCATGGATCAAAATATGTCCTGTATTGTCCGTGTGCACGTGACCGTATTCATCGCACACTCAGCTCGTGAGGAGGGTTCACGTGTGTGCTACCGTGGTTAAATATGGTAAGTCTCAATACTTTTTTACTTGGTCGTCTTCCTTGCGGAGAGATAAGTTGTTTCTCTAATTCCAGAGCTTATGCAGCAGACTGAATGGACGCTTTGGATTTTATGGAAGCTGTTTTAAATTTGGAGTTTAAGTTAAGGTCCGGTGAATGTTCCTATGTTGGGGGTCACTGTTTTAAAACATTTTAAAAAGGTCATACATCATGCACAGATCTGACTTCCTTGTTCTCAGTGTTATGATAGTGACAGCCTTTCGAAACCGGTCGAACAGGAAGAAGGCTCACAAGTAAACAAATTATATTCGTTTCAAGATATCAGTTTTAAACAAAATGCATAACCCCTATAACTGATAGGGGATAGTGTTTGAGTCAAACTGAAACGTTCGTTTACGTTTGAAAGTATCGTCGGATTACAAAACTAGAAACTTAGTAATATTTCCTGTTGGTTGAAATCACAGCTCTCACTTTTTATCGCTTTAGGTATTTTATAGGTCCTGCATGAGGCTACATGGCTCATGTTGCATTGAAGATTGTATTTTTTCTGGCCTGAAATGCCACGCATGATGCGAAAAATGCTGAAATGTTGTTGACTTAAGGAAAGCACAGTCTCCTATATTGTAACGACAATTAAAACACTCGCTCGAACCGTGCCTCGAACATTTTCTGAAGTGTAGTTCCAAGCCAGCGATTACAAATGATACATCTTGAATTATTATTCATGCGACAGAGTTTATCACACCTCCGTTTCGCACCTCCGTTAAGCACGGTTGGTCACGTACTGGTGTGAAAGGAGTTTAAGATACATGACCATCTGTTGGACATCGTGCTTTTTTTCCATTTTCAAATTGTTAATCGTAAAATTTTTGGTTATCCATTGTTTTCATTTTTATGTATCTATCTACCCCTCCACCTATCCCCGAGGTCACCTCGAAAAAATGTGTTTTAGTTCAACGAGCCTTACCCTGGTTGAACAACAATAAATAAAATAAACCTGTCTAATGAAGCAGAGGTGCTTGTGTTAAGTTGATGGTTAAGTAAAGTTTATCGACGTCGTTGGAATAAGTGTTAATCTTGCCAAATCAGCTTTTCGCTGTAAAGCACTCCACAGGAAGTCATGCATGAGAATGCAGCTTGTGAGTGATGCCCTGTGCCGCGTGACCCCGCCACGCCCGCCCGCCTGTGTGCCCTGCAGGGTTCGAGTACAACATGCCCGTGCGCTTGTGGCTCCCCGAGTCGTTCCCGTACAGCCCCCCGCTGGCCTTCGTGCAGCCTACGCAGGACATGATTCTCAACCCCGGGCACCACGTGGACTCGCGCGGCCGAGTGTATTTGCCCTACCTGCAGCACTGGACGCATGTGTGTGAGCGCACCACAACCTGTACAGGCAACACCACAGCTCGTCTTGTTACAACCGCACCACACGCCGCGGTAGCGAGATGTTAACTACCTCCCCTGGTATACAAGTGGTTGTGCGTTCGATCTTGAGTTTACATGTTCTCCCTGTGGTTGCGTGGATTTTTCTCCAGGTGGTCCGGTTTTTCCCTCCACATTTAGAAACATGTGTTTAGAGTATTTGGCTGCAAACAAAAATCCACGTAAGCCACTTTTGTTGAGCTATGATTTGTGGCCAGGTCGCTTCTGAAAGAGCTCATAGCTCAGTGGGCCTTACCTGCTAAATAAAAGAAAAATAAATAGTATACCAACCATTTAACATGGTATTAAGGGCCTTTTCAACATTAGTGTGTGCAAACTACACTCGTTCAATCACAGCCAGCCTTCTCAATTGAAATGATAATTCTCAAGTAAGCAATCATCTCCCAGGGACGTGCGGTCAGGGGAGGCAGGGGAGGCAGAGCCTCACGTGTCATACTCCAATGAAAGTACCCGTTACGAAAAAAAAAATAATCAAACAAAAATATTAAGATATAGTTTTTTTTATCTGTGTTATAAATGTCATTTCTGTACGATTCTAATCATTTTTATAGTTAAAATCGCCAAATTTGCGGAGTTCCGCTGCAAATACAGGAAGAGACAAGAGGTGAGGCAGCGACGCACTCAGCCTCCCCTCTGATTGCGCAACCCCTCAGTAACTGGATGGAGCGCGGGCAATAAGCGCGTGCCTGTTACTATCACAGTATATCACCAATGTAATGTTTGTAGATCCCTTCATTTCATGTCCTCACCTTCCATACTCCAGGTAGCTTATTTCACGTATGTGTCTAAAGATGTTTAGGCTTGCTGGTCTCGTCATGAAACTGCAATGAAAAAGCACCAGGGGAGGCAGCTGTCACATCTGCCTCACTGAGGGGGACGTGTCTAACACGCCCCCCTCAGTGTGTGAATCTGGCTCTGACACTAGCCAGTGCCTCCCCGGCCATTGACCTCACCGCACGTCACTGTCATCTCCACATCATGTGCCTCGCTCAACTGGTGCCGCGTGTGCGAATGTTTACGTCCCCAGCCGAACTCCACCACGTGTGGCCTCCTGCAAGCCATGGCGGACGTCTTTGCCAAGGAGCCGCCCGTATCGGCTCTCCCGAGGGGGCCCACAAGTCCGCCTTCTTACAACTCCTGGCAGTGACCAAACCCATCGACCTCACCAAGGGGCCTGCTTGGGGTTCTCAGACCGGCGAGCCAGTCCAGGCGGCGCCTCCGACGGGATGTGCCGTGACACTTGACTGACTGGAGGCTCGAGAGCTTTGAAGAGCGATGGGAGTGCAGAAGGAATTGGTGTGGGGGTGCTGGGTGGACACGTGGGTATTGGTGCAGGGTGAGTGCATTTGCGCTATATGCGTTGCACGCAGCACCAGCTATATGCTTCTGCTGGGAGTAGCCAGGGAGGTGCGAGGGGGATGTTTTGTGCAGCGACTCGAGCTGGTTTCCCAGTGGAATGCCTTTTACTGTCACACAAGACATCATGGCCTTTAGTATATACTGTCTTATTTAAAAGCATACTCACGTGGGAATTACTATAACAATGGCCAATACCAAGAGTCTGCTCAAGGTTATGGTTGATCTCCAGGTTGGTGGTTTTAAGTGTAATGTAATTCATTTAAGTGTTTGCTATAACACGGTTATTTAAAGTGAAATGATTCGGTGGAAATTTTAAGTTAAATTTTTATGACTTTTTTCTCAAGCCATAGAAAGATTGAGTCACAAGAGACGAATAGGAAGGCTTGCTCCAGAGTTGGAGCTGAATAATGGGGCAGGTCATTTATTTGAACGTTTATGTTTTAACAAAAGTTTCCTTGCGAGCCATTTGTGCCTTCAACAGATTTATATCTGCGAGTAAATTGTGCTTGCTAATCGTGAAGACAATGAGCAATAATGCAGGGCTGCAGGCCATTTTTTTATATATAAAGAATGGTGTTTGACCCCCTGTTGCTGGTGAACAGAACATGGCTGGAGCTGCGATTTGAATCTCTGAAAATTCAGATATCCGACCGCAAACCATTCAGCAGGGTATTCTCACCTGTCACTCATTTCTATCGTGGGAACAAGTTGCACACCGTTTAATATTTTTGTAGCACATTCCAGTGGCTGAATGTGGAACCACTTCACAGGTGGTGATGAGTAGTGTGGGACTGAGACTCTTAATACCTTGAGCTTGGGCAAACAAAGGCATTAGCAAAGTAAATACTGTATATGCAAGAGCATAACTAGTATGCTTTTCAGATGAGCACTTGTGTGAATGTACAATGAAATGTGAAAAGTATGTATTACTTACGTTGGGAAAAAATATGCAAATATATGTTTAAGATTTTTATATGTAGTAATAGCATGAGGAACATGCGACCTCGGTTTGGTCTTGTGTGTGTGCGATTGCTTTTGTGAAAGGAACAAATTCAAACTTGAGCACTGCTCCCGTCCCATTAGAATAACGTTAACACGTTCCAGTAATTGTGTTTTCATTTCCAGTAATTATGTGTTTTCACTTCGACCAAATTATATCCGAACATTTCCTGTAAAGAACATCGGTGGATTCTGTGGAATGTTTTTGGACTGATAAAAGAAAAGTACCAAAGAATAAAAAATACAAATCACCCGAAATGCATCTCAATGTCTCGGAAGCCAAGCAGGCTTGATCACCTTGCACTAACAGGTTGTCAGAGGCATACTTGGGCTATGTCCTGGACAGCAGAGGGCAGTACAGAAACATATTATACTCTTTCATACTGTGGTTGTGCCTCCGGTGGATGGCCAACAACCACCACCCCACCTGCCCCCATGACCAACACAGCCTGGGCCTTAAACCAACAGTGTATTGACAGGCTCAAAAATTATTCCCGATGGTCCGACATAGAATACCTTGATGTTCAGGTTGTTGGTTCAACTGCTTGTAGCGTGCGCATGCATTTGGATTGCAGTTTGCAGGCAGGACACCTGCATCTTGGCAACATTCAATAGAGCGCGCACAGTGAATTTGCAATGCATGTTGTGCTGTGTATATATATAGTATATAAACATCCTCATGGCTTTGCCCCACCATACCTCGCTTCTCTCGTCTCGTTTTGTCCCCCCCTCCAGCCCGCTCCACTCAATCTCTCTTACACCGTCCCTCCCTCTTCTTGTGAACAATCCCGTTTCTGCTCCTTTTCCCCGACTTGTCCCCTTGCACTGGAACAAACTTTCCCTCCACATCAAGCGAGAAGCACCCTCCTTCCCGTCGAGTTTCCGCTCCTCCCTCAAGACCACCTCTTCTCCATGGCCCATCCTTCCCTCCATCCCGAGGTACCCCCTAATTCCCATACTCACTCCCCATACCTATTCACCATATCACGTTTAGCTACCCTTATTGTACCACTAACAACCCTTGTAAAGCACCTTGAATATAGGCGCTATACAAATAAGAAAAAATGACAAGACAGGATTTAGCTCAAATTCACTGCAGGGTTTTCATCTCCCATAGAATATCAAGTGAGATTTGCTTCCTACAGAAACGTTTTTTGTCCTTTGCAGCACCCACAGCTCAGGTTTTTTTCCTCTTCCTGGTTGTACCCATTTGCTCAAAACGTATCCGGCTGCACCCTTCAGCATCAATAGACATACAAAGTAGACGTCTTCCTCCCCAAGGAGGACACCTAAGGCCATCCCTTCTTCTGGTGGTCTTCACACTCCTTCCATACCAGTGGCATGGTGCGTGGATGGAATGGGCTCTGGTGCAAAGGATTAAATGGGACAGCACCCTGTTCAATTTAAACATTTTGTAGCCCTGGGCCTGGCCCCCTCTAGCCTGTGGGCCCTGGTGCAGTTACAGAACCTGCACACTTCATAGCTACACCACCACTCCATGTATTATAACTTGGACTGGGTGCAGCCAGGCTGTACATTGTCATATCCGTGTTTCTCACTTGAAAAAAATAAAATAAATACATTTTCTTGGCCATTTAAAAATGAACCAAAAATATTGTGTTTTGTATCTCAAGGCAGAAACATGTAAATTGAGGCCAAACAACCATCTGCAGTTTCATAAATCAGTTTAATTGTTTTTTTAAAGTACAAACAGATGACCATCAAAATCGGTTATCATAATGCACACAATTAGTTTGTTAACATGATCATACATGAAAGGCATATTGGAAGGATGGCAGCAACATGCAGTACCCTCTAGTCGAGGCTGCCGTCTGACATGTGTTGCCCTTTGGTGTTATTGTTAATGAGAAACACATCAAGAACAGGCTATGGACAAATTTCACGTGAAATTTTTATTCTCATGCCACCTCAAAAGATAAGTTCAATTCTAACTCTGCATTGCAGTGCAAATTTAGATTATGCATGTGGCATCTCTTTGTCAAACTGGTAATGAACAAAGCTGCCCTTTCCTAGGCTAAGAACATGCAGTGGCAGCACGAGGCCTTGAAGGCCGAGGTTTTTATGATTCTTCACGAGTCAGTCTTTTCCTCATCACAGTAATCATAGCAAAAATCTACAGCAACTCTTCCTAGCTCTCCTCATGTGGACGGAAGCGATATGGAATCTACATTCTGGCCAAAAAAATAGTTTGAAGGCCACATCAATCGAAATTGATTTGAGAAAAGTAAATCTCAGTCACAACTTGAAAGCTCGATTGGTACGATTTGTTTATGTGCCAAGAGCTACTTCCTGTGGTCACCTTGGCCCGAGCGGAGGCCCTGGTGGGGCCTTGCGGGGTACCAGGAAGTGCAGACCGCTCACAGGTTGGCCTTCTCATCAGAGCCGTGCTGGGTGTACGTGTGCACCGCATTCTGGAAACACAATTACAAGTGATGGAACATTACTTCATTATCATCATCACGATCAGCAGTATCCCTGGTTAATCCACTGCTGGATGAAAGCCTAACCAAGCCGCTGAGAAAGATAAAAAGTACAGTACCACGTATACAATGGTGCGTGTATGGTGTGGTTAGGTATAGTACTCTCCATATAATGCAACCTGGATTTAACACACAGGCTTTCGCGACAAATATGATTCCTAAATGATATTTGGTTCAGATCGTGTGCCGTTCACCCTCCACCCAATATAGCCAATTAAATACATCTGTCACAGGAACAAACGTGCCAATTAGCTTCAGCACCACCGGTATGCTGTCGACCAGAACACCCCATGTAACATTACAAAAATTGGCTACAAATTGTTAAATCCAAGTTGACAATAAGTAACAAGTTAAAAATAACGTTACAGAGGAGTTACTGCCTGATGAAAAAAAAAAAACACGGAACTGGAAATTCGATTCCTCCACTGTCCTGCAACCAACACGGCTGTTGCCGAGCTACGATCCTCTGAAAACAGTGGCACGCACAGGAGGGGGGGGGGGGGTAGACGGAGACTGCTCTACCACGTGGCACTGTCGTTGCACCCACGTGCTCTCGGGGGCGGTGGAGGCTGCGGGGTTTATTTTATTATTCAGCCAACTTGGTGTGGCGACATAATAGGGCCTGCCCATTGGGTTTTTACTGTATATCATAATTTTTTTACATGACACATTTCGTAGGACGCAATCACAAGCAAAGGGAAGAAGAAAGTTCCTTGAGCCCTCGAACAGGCGCAGAGAGCCTGCAGCACAGATAGCTGGGACGAGGGAATTCCAGACAACGGGAGGCTACCAGAGAAGGCATGACCCTCCCACTGAGCAGAGTTTGGGGTGACCAGGCAAGGATGCCTTCAGGTCACAACATCACCAGGTGAATGACGTCATGCGATAAAAGTGTCTTAAGTGACCGGGTTCCCCAGGCGAGTTCGCGTACCGAGGAGGAGCGAGCGTTGTGCTGGTTCAGCAGGGCCTTGACGCGGGCGCCCAGCTCCGAATGTGCCAGGGTCAGCTGCTTCACCTGGAAGCGCACGGGGTCACGTACCACGCAGCGGGTGAGGGTCCGTCACGGCCAACGTACAACGCCGTACAAAACAGCCTTCATCGTGAGATTTTCGCTCAATATGTGCATCGACATTGGCACACGCTCGTGCCAACATGTCCACCCTGTACAATATGCACCGCGTGGCAGCTCCCTCAGTGCAGCATGTGAACAGAATCTAACAATGCCACCCGAGTATTTCAAACTGCTGCACCACAGCTGCATGCGAAACAAACACGCTTAAGCAGATTAATTTAAAATACATTTGTGTGTATGTGCGTGTGGATGCGTATACACATGTGTACAGGTGTAGGTGCGTTCGTGTGTATACCATGCGCTCCTGGATGAACTTCTGAGCCTCCTTGAGATTGCCAGCGATGTTCTGCACGAGGCGCGTGCGTTCAACCTCGCTCAGCACGGAGCCATAAAACGTGTTCACCTGCGCAGGGCGCACACGTACGGAGGCACAATGTACACACACAGTCGAACCAGCGCACCCCATAACCAACGCTCCACACACGAGCAGCTGTTGAGATGCTAGTGTGTGTGCGCGTGTGTACAGGTTTCCCTTGCCTTGTGCAGTAGATTCGTTCCAAAAAAAGGGCGCACAAAGCCAAACCGCACGAGATAGCTGTCTGCTAAGTAGCGCATACAGTACACGCAATGTCCCACGTCCGACCGCTTACCCACATACGAGTGAATTCAAACCGCATATAGCAAATTTCGGGTAGAAATTGGTTATCCACATGTGCACAAATTTGCGCACATTGTTTTGTGTGTGGATGCACATACAGAGGATTTATTATTATTATTATTTGTGTGTGTGCGTTCAAATTCTGAATGTGCTGACTAAAGTGTGTGCACCAGCGGCACCCTTGGTGCCTCGGCTTGCGAGGTTACGTGTGCCCACGGGGTGGCCCACCTGCGAGTAGTTGTCGTCGTCGGCAGAGTTGTAGCGTTGCACATCGGCACTGACGGCGAATTTATGCTCGTGCAGGTGTGGTTGTTGCTCAGGAGCGCTGAAGCTGTTTGGGTAGTAGTTGGGTGCACCGGCTGTAAGCAAACGCAAGACAAAAATTGCCATTTACTCGTCCAGTCAGGCAGCTGCAGCAACGTTCTGCTTGGCGGAATAATCGCTCTCCCACTTTCGGGTTGTGCCACGCGTTGTTCGGCACGGTGTCCGACGTGTCGCTCCAACTGCTGTAAAGCTCGCTGCACGTGGAGCAGAGCGTCAGACAACCGGAAAACACAAGGCTACGCAGCAGCACGACTGCGAAAGCCTACGCGGTCTGTTAAGACAGTGCCCGTAATGGGAAGATTGGCAGACGTGAAGCCCAGGGTCCACCTCGTATCATTCTCCGCTGATTATTTCTGCTCAATTCTCCCTGCGTGGCAATGGTGATGACACTGTATCAAGCCCAGACTTTGTTTGCTAGTGATATGCGTGACCATGAATGGTGGTGCCTAGGTCACTTGGGACGCTACACAACGAGTAACCCTTGCCATCATATTAAAGGGGGGGGGGCACGAACAGAGAGGTACACATGCATACACAAAAACATTAGACCCGTGTAATATATTTGATGTTATAAAACATACGAAGAACACAAAGCTGCGTCAGCAGACAGGCAACGCACCCTGGTTGTCGAACATGCACATGGGACCGTCACGCTGGTAGTTTCGGACGCGGGCACGGAACGGGCAGTTCACCGGCAGGTGCAGGTAGTTGGCACCCAGACGGTGCCGGTGCGTATCCGGGTATGAGAACAGCCTTCCCTGAATGTGCGCAACACACACGCGCACCGACACAGGTAAATTCACCCAAAACGATGCTGTGCGTTGTTGTCGTAGTTAATGATAACATCAGCGGTTATAGAATGGGGAGAGGAGGGGGGCAGAGATGGCGAGACCTGCAGCATCTTGTCTGGGCTGGGCTCGATGCCCGGAGGCATGTTGGACGGGTCAAATGCAATCTGCTCGACTTCAGCAAAGTAGTCGGTGGGGTTGCGGTTGAGCTCCAGGCGACCCACCGGGATCAGGGGGAACTCCCCGTGCGGCCACACCTGAGCACACGGGGCACACACGGATCCCTCTCGCGATCAGGACTACGGCACAAGTCTTAACAGGAGTTACCCACGGCAGATGAAACGGCACGTGAGACGTTAACGTTTGAAGTGTTTGATGTCGTGCATGTTTTTAGAAGATGTGGGAATATGTATTTATTTAATATACGAATACACTTTTCTAAGTGCATGGTGGTGTATGTATGTATAATCTATATTTAAATTATTTTGCACCGTACGTAGTCAACCGCGCTAATCAGAGGTGCGGGGGTAGGACAACAAACTAAACACAAAAAGCAGTTGAGCAAAGTGGTGGTAGCTAGCTGCACATTTAATGTTTGCGAGAGGTGAACGCTCTTGATGACATGCCAACACAAACGTAAATATTATCAGAGGAAAGACAGTGACTGGACAAAAAAAGCAGTCCGGAGCACCTGCGGGATCGACAGAGGTACCTTGGTGAGGTCAAATGGGTTCCAGCGATGGACCTCGGCCTGCGCAAAGGTCATGATCTGCACATAGAGCGTCCACGTGGGGAAGTTGCCATCGGCGATCGCCCGGTAGAGATCACGGATGCTGTAGTCGGGGTCAGTACCAGACAACCGCTCGGCCACCTCCACCGGTATGTTACGGATTCCTTGGTCAGTCTGCAGCATGGGGACACGTGTTCAATTAATAAACTAGACAAACAAAAACTCTGAACTATTTTTTTTGTTACCAGGCAAGGCCCACTGAGCCAGAGAGCTCTTTTTCAGAAAACGCCTGGCCACAAATGACAGCTCAACGAAGTGGCCTATTATGTGGAAATGTATAGCAGCAGCAAATTAATCTAAACGCGTGTTTCTAAACGTGGAGGAGGAAACCGAAGGAATTGAAGGAAAATCCATGCGACCACGGGTAAACATGCAAACTCAAAATATACAAACATCATCAGGGTCAGGATTGAGCTCATGACCTCCTGTATACCAGGCAAGGCAGATAATCTCACCACCGGAGTGCCCTAATAAGCAAGCAGCAGTTTCTGCAAGTCTCTACGCACCTTCCATGCTGAACTCCTACCCCCAGGTCCCAGACACAAGCATTATCTTACCCAAGAGATCCCCTCTGAATTGAGATGTGCATCTCCAGAGGCTATGCAGAATAGAGATCACTAATGGACCCTCCGCTCGCAGCTCACCTTGTAGTGGAACTTGCAGTAGACGGCCTCACCGGCAGCATTCACCATCTTGAAGGTGTGGGAGCCGTAGCCGTTCATGTGTCTGTAGCCGTCGGGGATCCCGCGGTCGCTGAACAGGATGCACATCTGGTTCGGAGACAGAGATGAGCTGCAGATTTAGAAATGTACAAATTACAATATTGGAGGTAAATGTTAAATATATCCCCGTCTCATTGCACAAAGAGTCACGAGGCTGGTTTTGCATTGAGCATATGGACTGTGGCCTCTGTTAGTCCGGCTTGGGAGGGTGAGGAGGGTGGGGAGGGTAGGGGCATGACTCACGTGGTGCAGGGACTCGGGGCGGAGAGAGAAGAAGTCCCAGAACATGTCTGGGTCCTTCAGGTGGGTCTGGGGGTTCCTCTTCTGGGTGTGGATGAAAGATGGGAACTGCACACACAGCCACAATGCCGGTCAAAAAAAATGTGTTACTTGCTCCCAATAAGGCCAACAATTTGCACATAAACATCACTCGACACAATGCTACGCACATATATGCTGTGAGGTTCACATATTTATAGGCACTGTAACACCAAACGATTTATCATCAGTAAGGTTCAGCTGTGCTCTAGACAAGCAATATGATTTGACAGCTTGTGTTAATTTACCACATACGGAGAGTGTGCCGTATACTATTGGATACTTGGAATTACACTGAGAGCCAGAAAGGGCTACCACAAGGGTCAGGGAATGAACATAAATTAGATATTATGTTTTGCAAGAGCATGGGAAAAGCAGCGGCTTGGAAGGTCTTCATCCAACCATGGATAGACAATGGCCGCTGCTGGTGATGATTATAGAAAGTGTATCCCAAAGACCAGTAAGTATTGGCGTCACCGCTCAAAAAGTGCACACACAGCACACAAAAAAACAGCCAGGAGATAACGAGGTCAGTGACTGAAAGGTGTAAGCGCTGAGGTCGAGGCCGCAGTGAACAAACACAAGGTAGCCACATGAGCATATAGACAGAGCAAATATGATTAGGCAAGCAAATACCGAAATAGGGGCAAACTGAGAATGTTTTAAAATAATTAACATTCAAGCATAACCTTGTGTGACGCTACATTCACGCGTCAATAAAAAAAGATCTCCAAGTAGCAAAGACGTCGACAAAATGCCACAAGCAAAATACCCGTGCACACGTTTCTAAATGTGTGAACAGACCCATGACAAGAGAATCACTCGTGAAGGATTGGGGAGGGAAAGTTTACGTGGCAAGGAAGAGTCAAGAGGCTACGAATTTAACCACGAACCAGTATCGGGTCGCGGATGAAAAAGATTGGCACGTTGTTCCCAACGAGGTCCCAGTTCCCGTCCTCCGTGTAGAACTTCACAGGAAACCCGCGTGGATCCCGCACGGTATCCGCAGAGCCAGACTCCCCACCTGCTCGCCCGCAATGTACGCAAGCACACGTCACAGCGTCCACGTGCACACACCATCTTAAACGTTGTATTCGTTCCCGGGCCATGCCACAGTTGTTGTTCTCTCTTCACCCTGCGGCCGTCTGGAACGCTCTTACTTCCTATATGAGGAACCCACTGGAGCTATGCACGTTTAAATATAAATTGAAAACTCATTTCTTCAGAAGATCTTTTTGTGTTTAATTTGATGTCCTTCCCCTGCACCTCCGATTATCACGGTTGGCTACGTACGGTGCAAAAGAAGTTCAAAATACCTACATACTTTCCAATATTTCCCTGCCGCCACTCCCTGTGATGTAGTTGTTTTGAAGTCTCTTGAGAGGCAATTGCATTTCGACGCTATATTCGAATATATAATTGTTAATCAGATAGCCGGGTTCGTAGCAAAGTGCACTAACCACAAAACCACTGCTCCACCCTCATTTAGACGCTACATAAATTGGAATTGTTGTTTCTGAAGTGCATATCTTAGTGGATATTTATTACACGTTATGATAATGACCATTATCAGAGCTCAAAGTTGCGTTATTAAAATTATGCTTGTGCACCGACAACTGCTTTCGGAGCATTTGAATGACTCCAATACCAAGATATACAGGCCACACGGCACAAGAGGGCAGACAGGGACACACCTAAACGAGGTCACGTACACACTCGTGCGCTAAAATGAAAGTGCACACAAGGAGGGCAACACTCGGCAATAAACTTATACAGCTCTAACACAAATATCACACAGGCACACCCACACGTTCAAACAGAAAAACACACCAGTAACTGATGCGGCCAAAAATAAATCACACAACACAAGTACACTGTGAAATGCGCACACGCACACATTAAGAATTAAACAATAATTGCAAATTCATCTAAACTTGTCCAGACATGTGGCAACACATACAACTGGTGCAGATGCATATGCTTGAAACAAATATACCCGAGTGCGAATGACAAACAGGTGTGTTGGCTTTCATGCATGTGGCGATACGTATTCTTGTTTGAGTTTATGAGAGCGAGTGCAAGGGTCAGTGTTCAGTGTTTGTGTGCAACCCACCGACGGTGGAGAAGCGCACAGCTATGGGTGTGCGCTTGCCAACGTGCTCAAACACCTTGGCCTTGCAGAAGTTGGTGATATCATGCGTTACCTCAAAGAAGCCAAATGCACCTGCAGGAGCACAAAGACACACATCCATCGTGAGCAGTTTTAGACGGGGAAATTTCAAATTTTGATTGCGATATTGACCCATATTATTGAAATCTTACAGATGGAACAGATGTCACAGGTATCGCTAGATAGTGTCTTGCCAGTGCATCCAGGTTAAGCTGGAGATTTTCTTCTCAGCATGCAATGGGGTTCCTGGATTTCCTATCCAGCAGGGGCTGCTCCAAATAATGGTTCACCTCTGACTGCACCGCTGATGTCTATTCATATGCCCTGCGATGTTGATTCTGCAGTATCAAAACAGCCCATTGTGTCATCAGCTGGCTCTGCTAACAAGTGGCTATTGAGATAATGTTGGCTCCTATTGTGTTGAGTCTGGAGCTACCGTCTCGACTACATGTGGCCTGGTTTTCTCTTCAACACCTCCAGGCAACATCATTGAACCGAGGATCGAGAAGTGTTGGCTTGCCTAACACGCCCATCTCCTAAACTCTTCCAGCAAAGCTCACACAGGTTGTCAGGAGGATCCTGGAGACAGCCTTTCTGGCCTGTCCGTAGCACAGCTCCTATAATTGCATGCTTTTACATTACATACGAGGGATAATACAGCAGCTGGATGTTGCATATGTTTGGTCACTCAACACCTTTGTGATAATATAAAATGGTCTCCAAAAGTGGCAATATCCGAGTCGCAGACATTTTTTGTTTATGTCAAGCAACCAGGTAGTGTGACCACAGAAACTCAACCAGTTCTACCATCACATACATGGCAGTCTCCGGACATCTGTGAAAAGAGCTTTATAGCTCATCGGATTTAGAATAAATACAGATTTCGATTCTGAGTGTCGGTACAGCAATATAATTTCTCTGCTGCATTTACACCATTCTCTAAACATTTCACAACAGCAATGCATTTGCCAAAAAACAGGGCATGCGATTCAGATACATAAAGGTCTCTACAATTTTGACACTGGCATCAGTTACAATGTACGGCACCTTGTTGGAAAATATCAAAAGCAAACGGCATTACCCACAAGGACTTGACGATAGTCTGCCACGTTCCTCTCTATCACGCGGTCACATATATCTTACAATATATCACAGTATCCTCGTATCGTGGCAAAGTTGTAACCACCTGCCTGGGCAACATCCGCCAAACCAAAAGCGGGTGGCTCGCACTACACGACAGAGACGCCACTGCTGCAAACAGTACCTCTGTCGCACGCACGCACGCACGCACGCACGGGGAAAGGCGCGCATGCTGTACCTGCACCCTTGGCGTGCACCACGCGCTCGGGAATGCGTTCGCGGTCAAAGTGCGCCATCTCGTCCGTGAACACGGTGTCCTGCACCAGCAGAGGCCCACGAGGGCCCGCCGTCTGAACATTCAGCTTGTCCGAAATGGGGTTCCCCGCGCCCGTCGTCAGGACATCAGGGGGCTGTCGGGACAACAAAAATGGGCAAAGATGAATCATAAGAAGAATTATGTCTTGACAGTTTGTCAATTCACTTTTGGATGGCAGCCTTCCCCATGCTGTGCGGGTCAAGAGGTTATTTACCACGCTTCACGAGACTGATCAATTCGGATTTGTGAAGGTGCGGAGGGAGCATGGACAATGGAGCAAAGCACAGAACAATTTGGCTGCACTGTCATCTGTTGTCCACAACAAGGAAAGCCCTGCAGCAGCCTATACGGTAAACAAGTTTACTTTTAATCTAGGAAAGCCCCACTCAGACGCAGTCTGAATTAAAGCTGCTTATCGAAGGGCATGAATTCAGTTGGCACAAGAATGGACCTCCCCTTTAGTCGACCTCCGCTGGCAATACATGTATTGAATGTGCAATTCGTATGTCGGTTAGGACATGCTATATTGCGAAAAAGTTATAGGCCAAGGGCCAAATTTTACAAATCAGCATTTTTCTGCAACTTTTATGGGGCAATCTGGTTTTGCATGCATATCAAAGTGATATCACCATATAAACCTATCATATTGTTCGCCCCGTGTTTCTATCTGCGCATTATGTAAATTATAGTGCCGGATTAAGCTAGTGCGGGGCCTGTAGCATATGTTATAAAGGGGCCTTAAATAACTAAAAAAACACAAATATTAAAACACAAACTTTTAACTTACATAGTAAAATAAGTGTTTTTATTTGCTATACAGACAGATAATACGACAAATCGCTAACCTTAAACACCCAGTCGTCCATAAAAGTTGAAGGCGGTATAGTACTATAGTAATCGAGGAAGTGCAGAATCACTGAACCGGAATTGATAGCTTGAAAGCATTTAGCGCGGGGGCCTTGGAAGTGCGGGGCCCGTAGCATGTAGCTACTTCTAGATTTGAAGCTTTCGTGACTGCAAGGATTCACACTCTTAGTTCTTTCAGTAAAGTCACGTAGGTAAAAAAATAATAATTGTTTTTATTTTTTATAAATTTTAATTTCATTTTTTTACCTACGTGACTTTACCGAAAGAACGAAGAGTATGTAGCTACTTGTGGTGCTACTGGGATAATCCGGCCGTTCAAAAGCCAGAGAAAGCTGCCCGCCGCATTCGATGAACGAGGGGACCACGTTACTGCCAACTCGACAAAAGGCCGTGGTGGTGGTGGTGGCGTGTGATGGTGGTGGTTGTGGGGGGCAATGCGCCAACGCCGATGGTCTAATAAGTAAAACAAATAGGGGGGGGGGGAGAGACTGGAGCGCGGTGACCTGAACAGCAACACACAGCAATGTCTCACTCCGCAATGTCCCACTCCGCAGCAGCGATACATCAACAGCTGCACTCACTGTGCAGCAGTAGCAGCAGCAAGCCAGCAAAACCTAACAGTGGCTTTTACACGACAACGCGTTGTTAGAGGTGGAAACACCCACACCTCCCCGTGGCTTCAGGCTGTCCCTCAAACGTGCAACACATTCATGGAGCAATAGCTGCAGCAGCAGTGTGAGCAGCTGTAACAATGTCATTAGAAGTTGCAGCAGTGAGCTACTGTAACAACGTAAATAGAGGTTGCAGCAGTGAGCAGCTGTAACAATGTAATTAGAAGTTGCAGCAGTGAGCAGCTGTAACAATGTCATTAGAAGTTGCAGCAGTGAGCTACTGTAACAACGTAATTAGAAGTTGCAGCAGTGAGCTACTGTAACAATGTAATTAGAAGTTGCAGGAGTGAGCTACTGTAACAATGTCATTAGATCTTGCAGCTGTAACAATGTACACTAATTAGAGGTTGCAGCAGTAACAATGCAATTAGAAGTTGCAGCAGCAGCAACTATAACAATGTCATTAGAGGTTGCATCAGTGAGCAGCAGTAACAATGTAATTAGAAGTTGCAGCAGCAGTGAACAGCTGTAACAATGTCATTAGAGGTTGCAGCAGCAGTGAACAGCTGTAACAATGTCATTAGAAGTTGCAGCAGCAGTGAACAGCTGTAACAATGTCATTAGAAGTTGCAGCAGCAACTATAACAATGTCATTAGAGGTTGCAGCAGCAGTGAACAGCTGTAACAATGTCATTAGAAGTTGCAGCAGCAACTATAACAATGTCATTAGAGGTTGCAGCAGCAGTGAACAGCTGTAACAATGCCATTAGAAGTTGCAGCAGCAACTATAACAATGTCATTAGAGGTTGCAGCAGCAGTGAGCTACTGTAACAATGTCATTAGAAGTTGCAGCAGCAACTATAACAATGTCATTAGAGGTTGCAGCAGCAGTGAACAGCTGTAACAATGTCATTAGAAGTTGCAGCAGCAGTGAGCTACTGTAACAATGTCATTAGAAGTTGCAGCAGCAACTATAACAATGCACAGTAATTAGAGGTTGCAGCAGCAGCAGCAGCGCGTTGAGGACGGCATCAGATAAAATGGCAACAGGAAGATTGTCCCTTGTGCAGCATCTGCGAGGAGCAGCAGCAGCAGCAGCTACTGTAAGGGGCAGTGGCACTAAAAAACCTCCTCATCATCATCATGAAGATGATGATAGAAGAAGAAGAGGAGGAGGAGAGTGTGGGGGAGGGGGGTGATGGCAGCGGCTGAGGGTGTCTCACCGCGCCCTTGCGCGCGTCCTTCCACAGCTGCATCTGGTCCCGGGCCTTGTCCCTCGAATGCTCCATCACGGCTCGTACACGACTCGGAGTCGGCCACACCGACGGGAAGATGCTGCTGGTGTTGTTGTTGTTGCTGCTGTTGTAGGCTGGTGCAAGTGGCAGCAGCAGGAGGATGAGGAGGCTGTCGTCTCGCTGCCAGTGAGGACTGCGCCACGAGGGGAGACCGCGGGGAAACAAATAGGGCGGAGGGCGGGAGGGAGGGCGGCAGCTGCTGCCACCAGGTCACGTGCCGCCCCCGGGCTGCCACTCGACCACTCCACCCCGCCCCCTCACGTCACTCACACGTCACCACCCCCCCTCACCCCCCCCTCACTCCACCCCCTCACCACCCCCCCTCACCACACCCCCCCCTCACCACACCCCCTCACGTCACTCTCACCCCCCCTCACCACACCCCCTCACCACCCCCCCCTCACGTCACTCTCACTCTCCCCCCTCACCCCCCCCCTCACCACACCCCCTCACCCCCCACCCCCCTCACCACACCCCCTCACCCCCCACCCCCCCTCACCCCCCCTCACCTCACTCTCCCCCCCTCTCTCACTCTCACCTCACTCTCACTCTCCCCCCTCTCACACTCCCCTCTCACTCCCCCGTCACCACACTCTCACTCTCCCCCCCTCTCTCACTCCCCCTCACCCCCCCTCACCTCACTCTCACTCTCCCCTCTCACTCCCCCCTCACCCCCCCCCCTCACCCTCCCCCCTCTCTCACTCTCACCTCACCGCACTCTCACATTCCCCCCACAACCACACTCCACCCTTATACCTCACTCTCACACTCCACCCTCTCACACTCCACCCTTATACCTCACTCTCACACTCCCCTCTTAACTCACCCTCACACTCCCCTCTCACCACACTCTCACACTCTCCCCTCTCAACTCACTCTCACACTCCCCTCTCAACTCACTCTCACACTCCCCTCTCACACTCCCCTCTCAACTCACTCTCACACTCCCCTCACTCTCACACTCCCCTCACTCTCACACTCCACTCTCAACTCACTCTCACACTCCCCTCACTCTCACACTCCCCTCACTCTCACACTCCACTCTCACACTCTCCCCTCTCACCACACCCTCACACTCCCCTCTCACCACACCCTCACACTCCCCTCTCACCACACTCTCACACTCCCCTCTCACCACATTCTCACACTCCCCTCTCACACTCCACTCTCCCCTCACTCTCACACTCCCCTCACTCTCACACTCCCCTCACTCTCACACTCCCCTTACTCTCACACTACCCTCACTCTCACACTCCACTCTCAACTCACTCTCACACTCCCCTCACTCTCACACTCCCCTCACTCTCACACTCCCCTTACTCTCACACTACCCTCACTCTCACACTCCACTCTCCCCTCACTCTCACACTCCCCTCACTCTCACACTCCCCTCACTCTCACACTACCCTCACTCTCACACTCCACTCTCAACTCACTCTCACACTCCCCTCACTCTCACACTCCCCTCACTCTCACACTCCACTCTCAACTCACTCTCACACACCCCTCACTCTCACACTCCCCTCACTCTCACACTCCACTCTCACACTCCCCTCACTCTCACACTCCCCTCACTATCACACTCCCCTCACTCTCACACTCCACTCTCAACTCACTCTCACACACCCCTCACTCTCACACTCCCCTCACTCTCACATTCCACTCTCAACTCACTCTCACACTCCCCTCGTACTCACACTCCACTCTGAACTCACTCCCCTCACTCTCACACTCCACTCTCAACTCACTCTCACACTCCCCTCACTCTCACACTCCCCTCACTCTCACACTCCACTCTCAACTCACTCTCACACTCCACTCTCACACACCCCTCACCACACTCTCACACACCCCTCACCACACTCTCACACTCCCCTCTCACTCACAATAATTAGCCAAAGGGACCATGGGGGTCAAACCAGTGGCCGCTTGGCCAAACGCATACGTTACGCAACCCGAAGGTAAATCTTCCCTTAGTTTACATTTATTGTTGATTCGGAACAGACAAAAACGTAATACAATATAGTAATCTTTATCCCAGTGATCTTCACAAACAATTTATATACTGTACGTGTGATCCGATGGCTAATGGGTCTGGAGCTTTGTAGATCTCCAGTTAACAAAAATACGGCAAAAAAAATGCCAAATTGTCATCCAATAAAGTTTTTTTTGGTTTTAAACCCTTCTCCAACCATGAGGAGATTGAGTCACAGGGCATTGCCCGGCCTTGCCTTCAATGACCCTGGAGTGTATTTATTAGTGTTGATGGAAAAGCAGCAAGTCACTCTCGGGTCCCAATCGTCATCCACCAATGAACTCAACATCTGTGCAGTGTATATGTGAATCAGCTGAAGCCTTCCTGTAAACCAAGTGCCGTCTGTGTAGCCCCCCCCCCCCCCACTCTTAATCCCTCCCCTTTCCCCGCCCCCTGTGAAAACAGACGCTGCAACGTGCACCTTCGAGGTGCTCATGTAGAGGCTCTTCCTCACGGACAGTACCATCTTTCCAGACACCTTGGTCACGTTTTCCATTCCCTTGCCATACTTTTCCCTCTTATTTCCTCATAGAGTCAAGTTATATCCTTGACTCTATCCCCGCTTACCATGGTGTGCCATAGGTAAAAAGTTTTTCAAACTATCATGAACACAATACTGAAATGCTGCAGGGTTTCGTTTTACCAAGTGTAAAGACTCATTGACTTCATCATGAAACTAAAGTATATAAACAAATAGTACAATGTTCCCGCTTGGATGAAATACAATTGTGTATCACGTACACTTGTTTGCAATTCCCTTGGTGGCTTCATAGCGATAGCCTACGAGCATTTCTTATCTTACCCCAATTTTAACAATCTTCTCAGTTCATGGACTTTTTTTAGATAATTCTGTGGACTTCGATCCCCTATTCTGTTTTTTGACTACGTGCAGATGCCAACAACTTGGCTATCAGCCCAGCTCATCCTGACCACGCAGCTCAAGCCGTCAACCGAGGCACAAAGTCTAACCGCAGCAAGCAACATGATCATGCTGAGCCACAGATCGGATGGCTGATATAGTAATTCATGTGAAGTATCGGGATTTTTTGTTGGAGGAGTTATCTTTCATCCATTACAGTGTATGCATAGTTGTAATGATCGCGGTTTGACACGAAGCTATATGAATTTAATTAAAAAAATACTTTCTAAGCATTGTTTTCATTCATGCCTACATATGAATTTATTTTATCAATTTTTTTCTTGTGCTCACATTAATCTCGGTATGGTGTGGGTATTTGAAACACCTTGAGCAAAGGCCAATATATGCTAAGCAGCCAGCAACAAATGGCAACATAGGGCTGCAAAGATATTCAAAAATGCAATTGTGCATAACACTTTCATATATTTTAAAGGCCTTCGTCAAAACACTGTTGAATGAGTGATACGCCCTGGCATGCTGCTGATGCTCTCATTCCATGTGTGTCAAGGGTGTGAGCGACTGATAGGAATGGATATAAAATGTTGGGGCCAAAATTCACGTGAAATTACATTCATCTCAGTCTATTCATGTTGGAGCAACCAATCTAGAAACTCGTGCAGTAATACCCCGATTTACGTTTCTCCCTTTTACGTTGTTTCGCGAATACTTTGTCACTTTATCAATGCCACTAGCTTATTTGCGTGGCCTCAACCCCACGCTTACGTCGCTGACAGCATCCATCGTCCGTCCTTCCTCGTATCCATCGCCTCTCGGCCTTCGCTTCCGCCACCGTACCCTGTACATCGCTTTCACTTAACGTCGTTTCGATATCCGTCGTCGCGCATTTCAGGAACGCATCCCCGACGTAATCTTGGGGTAATTACAGTACATGTACTTTTTGTTAGAGTTTAGTTTCATTTGTATGTTTTTAAAGTGAATCGTTTTCCTTTCTTATACTTTGCACTCCTATCCTATTTTTGTAATGTTTATTGTTGCAACTTGCTGACCCGCCCATACCTTGAACACCTGTGAAAAGAGCTTCATCGCTAATCGGATTCCTCCAGTCTAAGGGTGGTCCATAAATGACGTCACGCACCTAGGGGGGGGGGGGTCAAACATTTGTGACGATGTGTGACGAGGGGGGGGGGTTGAGAAATGTGACGTCACATCAAAATGCGCAACTTTAAATAAATATAGACAACACGTTCTACTTAATTAAATAGTCTTTTTGATAAATGTTTTATCCTACAACATCAGAGTGTAGCGCCACATTAAATACGCACCACAATGACAATAGTTTAAAGCGATTTGAAACATGTTTTATTTTCAAAATGGAAATATGGTTTTGGGGGGGGGGCAGAGCTTTGTGACGTCATATTTGAGGGGGGGGGGGTCTGACTTTTTGTGACGCCGTGTGACGAGAGGGGGGGGGGGGGTCAAAAATCGTCAAAAATCGCGTGACGTCATTTATGGACGGCCCCTAAACACAGATTCCGATTATATACGATCGAGAGACAAATGCTAAATTGTAGAAATTTTTGGTGCCAACCCACATTTTCTCATGACTCAGCGGGTGGTGCTGACGCATTGGTGCCCGTGTGGAATTCCCCGCCAGATGACGGAACAGAGATCCTGCACGGATGTAGACGAGACCACCCCGTGCAGTGCCAAGAGAGAGATGCAGACACACACATTGAGAGGGATGTAGTGACCGACAAGAGGCACGCAGGCAAGATAGATGACGATGACATATTACCGTACTGACTCCGCCAGAAACTTGTTTCTGCCTGTCCCAAGCCAGGATCAAGGAGGAGGGTTGGCGTCTGGCTGCAACCGGCCCAAAAAACCCTGAAGCCAAAAACATGGAAAGTCCTTGCAACAGCAGAACCCCCACTGAGTGGGACAAACACGTGGAAGAAAAGAAGAAGATATTATTGTACTGCAAATAAGCTCGTTCATATTACCCCCCACGCACACACCTCCGATTACCATGGTACATACGGTGCGAAAGAAGTTCAACGTACAGTAAAACCTCGTTATTTCGGTATTTTACCATTGGTAATTGGGGATAATTCGGCACGGCAGCGCTTTCGGCATGTATACAGGAGTAGTAATTCGCCACGAGCCGAATTGTCCAATTTCGGCACAGAACGTGGAGCGATGCCGCGCGCCACGACCAAAACAACGTCTCGTGGCAACAGTGTTGCTTTGGACTTTACCTTGTTTATTATGTCGCAC